TAACATCAGTTCATTCTTAGAACATACGTCATTTCAAATTTGGTTACATAGAGAGAGAAGCTTGGACGGTAAAAGTGAGCGTTTAAAGCGCGTTATAAGGCTCCATACATCTACGCCTGGGTCACTAATTCCTGTTACTGTTAAAGTTCCTCTCCCTGCAGCAAGACGGAACATTTACGCGCATGGTTTATCGATGGAATACTCAGAAGTTTTAACTCTTACGTTTAAAACCAATAAAAACAGGTAATGTTCTGAAATTATATCTTATGTACCTCTCCTCTCTCGCAAAATTCTTATTAAATCTTAATAATTTATCTGCAATTCAAAAGTCAATAAATTTTTAAAACAACATTCAGCTTTTCCACAAAAGCAATATCTGACTTAGCTTCTTATATTTGCAATCATCGCTCGACGCTATGTAAAATATGTTTCACATAATATGTACTACCCAAAAAATTACTAGTTTCTATAAAAATAAATATTAAATCTCCGTCCGACTGTTTACAATAAAACCAGTTAAAGAATTCAAACTAGGCTAACTGTATGCAAACTTCTACCATGTTTACGGTATATGTCTTTCAACAAAACATTTTACTCTGAATCATTCTGTCGAGTTAGAAGTTTAGTTTAAAAATCGGTTGTAATTTATAATTCTAAACACATTGCACACGATGTCATACATTCAGACAAAAAATCCCATTTAAAATTTACTCAGCTTATTTGTTAGATTTAACTCTAAATTTAATTAAATATAAATAATCCTTAATTAAATCTGGCATCTGATATTTGAAACGTGTGTGATTTCAAAATGTAAGGATAAACTGAAGTATTTGTTTTGGCTATAATTGAGTTACCAAAAATCAGCTAAAATAATCATAACATAATTTCCCCTAAAAAAGTATGCAGAGCTTAAGAGGAATAGTCTATAGGTAACAAAAAAATTATCATCTGTAACACCTTAACAAAAATCGCAGTTATATTTCTATCGTGAAACAAAAGATCGAAAAATTAAGAGTATTTTCCAAGAAAAAAAAATTTTTAACGACTTTTTCAGACCTAATATTAATACATTATGCAGCGAATGTCAGTAAACAGTCAACCTGGCAACTTATTCAAGCGGAACTCCAAATGATAATAATAATTGAAGAGTGATAAGAATAATAGATTAAACAGAAATGCAAGTGAAAGAAAAGGCGTATATTCTTTAGATAACCCTTCTACAACTCTCTGTTATAGAACTTAGGGGCCATCCATAAAATACGTCACACTAATTTCATGAGTTTTTGAGCCCTCCCCCGTCCTTGTTACAGGTGGTCACATTTCTGAGACCCCCCCCCCCCTCCCTAGTGTGACGTCACATGTTTTGCAATTTAACATCGAAAAATTATTAAATTAAAACAGCAGTTCCGAAATTAGTTTTATTTCCATTTAAAATAAGTACTTTTTTAAGAAATCAACATAGTATCAAATTTTTGAAATAATAAATAAACTAATGAATATATACACTTATAGGCGATTATCAAATATTATACTTTGCAGAATAATTTAGGACGTGCAGTCTATTAACAATATCTACACAAAACATTAAACATTCTCAAAAAATTAAACTGCAAATACTATATAAGAATTAGTTCAGTTCATAATTTATTGAAAAGATTTATACATACAGTTATACGAATATGTAGAACTTTCTTTAAAGAACATATTTTTATAAAAACCATATCAAATAATAGATTCTAAGGTAAAGATCCCAAATTCCAATTGGCGTATTAGTTTATTTCATACTATTCAATCTATCACGGAGATGACTTGTTATTTCTTTTGGACAGCCCAAAAAAAAAAAACATCTGTTGAATTCTGATCATAAATGGTTACATTGATTTTCAATTCTCATATGCTAAATTAATAGCGAAGGTGTGTCGGTTGGCTCATATAATTTATAAGTTAATTGTATCAACTGTACGCGACCAGAAGTTCGCGTGATATTGCCACTTTTCATTAGATTAAAAGCCAACATAACAATTATTTTACTAGAATTGATTAAACAATTAACATGTATCTTTTTAGTTTCACTGCGTTGTATGTTGCGGACATTATTGTGGGTTATATAAAGGCGCCATTTCATGGTATGATAGCAATCTATTTAATGGTCATTTGAGGTCTTAAATGTGAAAAACTATTTAACTATGAGACATTCTCTTTTTCTCAAAAAGATACGTAACCTCTGAATAATGTAGAGCTTATTGGTGAGTAAAAAAATGTTGTTCAAGAGTACCTAACCAACATCAATGCAATGAACACGTGGAGGCTTTCAAACAGTTCGACAAAAAGCTGCAATCATAATTACCATCCCGCGTATTACCTAACAGAGTACAAATCTTCCAGATAAGCTTACTTTCAAGAAGAAATATAGAGGTCGTGATAAACAGATCGTGCTTAAATCACCAGCTCATTAACGCTGGCGTAACTCAAGAGTCGGTTCTATGTCTACGTTGTTTTAACCTGCATATCAATGACAAGTTGAAAACTAACATACATCGCTATGCAAGGGAAATTAAAAATTGTGTTTTATGCACTAACTAAGAAAATATCCAAAAATATGTTTCGTAAAACAGTGAAAAAATGTTTGAAATTGGAACTTTCTATGACCAAATTATGTAGATAACAATTTAGAACAAATATATGAACACATGCGAATATTATCTCTCTACGTAGTTTTCTTATTAAGCATGCTATGTGCAACAACTTTATTCAGTTCCACACTTCACCCAAAGTTAAGCTATAAACTATAGCTATAATTATAACATTAAGGAGCAAACCGTCACTGTAAACATGTATAGGTTTTCACAAATATTTTAAATAATTTAATTTAAGGAAAAATGGCGATATGTAAGGAAAATATTTGAACCTTCATATTCCATAGCAATTTGTTGTAGGTACTTAATATTTATTGTCATTTTTTAATGAAGGATAAAAACTTTACTTAGCTTCATATCTTTTTAAAAACCTTTCAATTAAACTTGGCATTATATAATAACAAGCTTTCCGCCCGCAGCTTCGCCCGCGTGAAGTTAGGTTATATCGCGTTTCCTAGAGAACCTTTCAAAAGTCTGAGATAAAAACTGTCCTATGTTCTTTCTCAAGGTCAACTCCATCACTGTACCAAATTTCATTAAAATCAGTTCAGTGGTTTAGGCGTGAAAGCGTAACAGACAGACAGAGTTACTTACGCGTTTATAATACATATTAGTAGGGATTATATTATTTAATATAAAATATACAAGGACATGTTATGTACTGAGAGTCATGGTATCTTATTAACATTCACGACGAGTATATTTTGTAATGGCATAATTGAAATACATATATTTAAAAATAAATACGAAAATTTTGAAGGTTAGTTAATTGTTATAAAAACTATAAAACTGAATTATCTACATTTGTGATATTATAACTGACTTTAATGTATACCCTATTTTTCGGTTTAGGTATGAGTAATTAATTCTACTGTGTTGACGAAATTTCGAGAATGATCTAGAAATAAAATATAAATATTTTACGAGACATGAAAAGCTTTTATGAGCCTTATGGGAATATAGGTGAGAATTTGCCCTTTAGAAAAATATACCTGAAGAACCCTCGCGTGGACGAAAAACGAGGTTTTATTTGTTAGCGAGTGCTGAGAAGGTTAAGAATAAAGATCTATTGATGACGGTTGGAAAATGACGTCTTCAGGACACAAACAAGCAAGTTTAAACTCTGCTATATTTATGCACGTCTAAACAGTTCAAATATAATTCGAATCAGGGTGTCGGTAGAAATCAAAGAGTGCGTGTCAAAAGGGGGACGCGTAACGCTTATGATAGATTCAAGGGGCTCCCGAGTTGTGGCAATTCGGTCATCGGGTCAGCTCCACGAGGTCGCACCCTGAAGGCGCGCCCGTAGGATACATTACATCTTACCTGCAATGCGACGTTAAATTGTATCAAATCTCTTCTGATTTGATATCACCCTTTTAATGACTGGTAAATCTCAAACAGTCATTCAATTATACATAGATTCATTTCCAGCTAGAGTTGGTTCGAATACCGCTTTTTTTTCAATAAAAAGACACACATCCCTACCTCGTTAAACTAAAACATTTATTTATTTACTTTTCTGTCAACATTTTTAAAACACGCTACAAAATAAACCCTTTACTTAAACAAAATAAAAATGGAAGAACGTTCTATTAGCATCAAAAAACAAATTTAAGGCTACTTTCTCTTATTTCATTTACTTTAATTCCCTGTTTAATTTTATCTACCTAATTTATTATCAAAATAATTTAGTAGTAGGCGCTCTGTGTGTAGTTCTAACGATATATTACTATATTCTACAAAATTATCAATATCACAATACTAGTGATGTGACAGATATTTCCAGGTCAAAACTCTATACTATTAAATATTCACTAATTGTTTATTATAATTTTATTTCTGGTGCCGGCCGGTTTCGAATGATTACGTCACGATTGCCGCCTTCAAAAAATTACACATTACGAAACACGACGTGAGTCAACAATTCAATGTTTTTAGATAAAAATTGTTCTTCAATAATTAATTTGTATATTATTCAACACAGTCCCAGACTCGTCTTTTAATTTATAATTGCTTCTTTATGTATATCTCAATGTATTTATTTATGTATTATTATTATTGAACGATTTTTTAAACGCCCTACAAAAAATTACAATATCGTATATATAACGCTTTGATATTATTGTTATAGAAAATTTTAACTCTCATTTCGTTTTGATATAAAATTTGATAAGTTAATTCATAAATCATAGGAATAATTAACAAAATATATAAAATGAATATAAATTTGTTATTAAAATTAATAAGGGTTATAGCTGATTGAATTTTATATTCTTATTTATATACATTTACTCGTCAGTGACATAATTTATTGATAATAACAAAATTTCAAGCTTCATAATATAATTTAAATCAACTTACCAAGTAGAAGTGATGCTGGCAGTACAAGGCGCACCAGTAATAGCGATATGTAGTATTTATGCATTGTCTGAAAAGTTTAAATTAAAATCTAAATCAATCCAGAATCTCTATGCAACATTTAATTTAAATAAAGTTTCAAATGATGTAGGTAGAGAAAGACTATCATTACAATATTTATATATTCTTACGTACCACGCTTAAATTACAACTAATCAAACACTATATTAACTACCACTTATACACTGTACTAAATATCATAATTTAAAAGTTTTTGCATGAATAAACTTTCGCGGTTTTCGATCATTTTTACATGATGAAAATATGAAAAACCAAAACACGACCACTTCTTACCGCTGATAAAATGACACTTGTCAATCTCAATTTTCGGTAACTTTGGTTGTAAAGCACAGATACAGCAAACTATTTACATTAAACAAATAAAAATGGTTTTAATGATAAATTACAAACAATATGTTATTTCAAAATGTATAAAATTGGAGTATTAAGCTTAAAATATAATGTCTTTCATACATTAATATACACCCGCTTCTAGCATTTGAATAAGTATTTCAATTCCATAGCTGGCAACATTTTATGAATACCGTTTTAATTTTATTTTTATTTAAGAAAAATATTAGATTTATGAAATAAAATAATAAAAAAACAAAAGAATACATATCGTTACTATATTTCAGATTAAAAGATATAAATACCAAAAATTCTTTAATTGAATCGAAACTTTTTAGTGATGTTGCACTACACTAAATTTATTTTTATTGCGAATTAATGGCGTAGCCAGGTGAGTTTTCTTGTTTATTTCCTATTTCACTATGTTCCATAGTTTTCAATTGTTTTGTCTAAATGTTTTTCCACGAGTAAAGTATTCAATCTTCTCTAAAGTCAAAATTTTTTCACCTAACCGTTTATATTGCAAGAAAATAAACTAATATAACGAGTAATGAACACGTATCGGGTTTGTTCCGAATTTATTCACTAGTATCTTTGTCATCACTTTCACTTTACGCGTTTGCTGTAATAGTGTTTCTAGTGCGAAAGAAATACAGCGCCATGGATGAGTGAGTTGAATATTTTTTCTGATGTTTGCATCCTTTGTTTCATAATTAATATCGACACTCCTTTTACAAATAAGGAGCTGTTATAGACAGTCACGTCATAGTACAATTAATTCCGGAGAATTTGTGCTCCAGGAATGCATTGGCAATGTTTTGATTGAAGTTCTATTCCAGCACCATGTCGACCCTAACGAAAATGACCCGCACGGTTAAGAAACTTGAAGTGCCTAGACCCTTGAAATCAACCACCAGTTCCGCTCATAATCGCAACTCAGTATTGGATGTAAAAATTAATTCTGGTAAGAATCTTATTAGTGCACACTATGAAATCTTTCATAAACATACTAATTAAGTAAATAGTTCTTTCAGTCATTTTCAAACAATTGAATATTCATCACTCAATTAATTAATTTGATTATAATAATTTGAATGTGTTTATCCTGTAAGTAGTTTTACTGAACTGAATGAACAATGAGAAATATAATTATATATGCTATAATGCTAATATCATTTCCACTTTATCCTGTTTTCAGTTGATGACCTAATTGTTTTGACGGAAGCCGTGGCTTATCAAATGATGCAAGGAAATTTTGACCGTGCTCTTCAAAGTAATGTTGCCACAATGTACTCTAATCTCAAGCTTTATGGGGCTCAGCTCGAAGCGCTGTATAAGGATTTTCTTGACAGGTTCCTATGATATTATTATTTTACCATATAATCTATCATATCTAGCTATTGTGGTAACTTAACAGTATAATTTAATGTTACAGATATTTTGTTGTTTTCCGTAATGGATCTCAAGATGAACGCCTCGATAAGAAAACTCGTCTCCATTTACTGGAACTAATAGAGTTGCGCGCTAAACACTGGCAGGGTTCAGACTACATGAGTCAGTATTATAGACATCGTGGGACACATGCGGAGGTAATTAGGTTGACAGAATAATTTTTACAATGTCTGGCAAAATTTTGGCATACTCCAACATCATGATTCAATGGAATATACATAGACATGAGCCATTTCTTATATTTATATTAATATTGTGTGTTTAATTAAGTTTCCTGAGATGCATGTATGATAATATTTTATGATGAATAAGTTAGTGAAAAGGACATTGTTAGTGTTATATGATTTTTATTATTATATACTCAGTGTTGTCAATTCAAAATCTCTAAATATATTTAAAAAAGGATTAAGAACCCATATATTAGAAGATTTCACTGATCTTATTTAATCACTACTGTTTATTATTTGTGATTTTAATTGTAGTTGTAGTTTTTAAAATTTCCTCTGTAAGTGAACTCTGTTCTTTTTGGAAATTACCTATATTTATTACTATGTATGGTTGTTAGCCGCTGCTGGTGCCCACTATGGAGGGGTCAGGGTCTGGAGGCGCGGCGTCCCCTACGCTGGCTGCGCCCGCCGAGCCGCCCACACTGCTGGCCCCCGGCGAACTCATCAAACCATCGGGCAAGTTCCCCAAGCCAACCAAGATCCCCGGCAAGAACTACTCCAAGGATGAGGTCGTCATTCGCAATGCTGACTCTGGAAAAGGTATTGTTTTAAATATTGGTTCTATATTTAGTTGGAAAATCTTCATTATATTGAGAACTATGAAATGTATTGTTCTTTTATTTATTGTACTGTTTAGACACAAATTTTTGTAATTGGCAAGTGACAGAGTACAGATTTAATGAACCATTCAAATTTAAGAATACATGATAGTCATCATCATTTCATACAAATAAATAAACATTTGGTTTGCATATTGATGCAATTTTTTCTACTATAAATATAATTCAATTATTTGGTTATTGTAAAGAATTCATTAGACAATTGTATGTGTGTATTATGGTGTTACAGTGATGGGTATCAAGGGCAGGCGTGTGCACATGATTGAGGAGCTAAGTGATACCATTATATCATTTCAGAGAGGTATGAGTTCCAACCCTCGGTTACAGCATGGTGTGGTGGAGTCTTCTCGCAACTGTCGCCTTAGCTCTATTATATGTACATTATATATCAATAATCAAATAAAACAAAGTGGATTCCTTGGGACTGTCGCCTAATAAAGCTTCGCTTCCTATATTAACCCATATTAACCACTACTAATAGAAACATTTATCCTGTTTATATATTAAATATCATGTTATCAATATTCCAGTGAGTCCCGGGGCGAAAGAGCGTCTGGTGCAAATCACTGGGCCGAATGAGGAGAATGTTAAGTGAGTAAAATATAACAAGAGAAGATGTGTTAATAAGGAATGATGTTAGACTTAAGCTTTGCATTTGTGCGAGTGAAAGTAAGTAGTCCAGGATCCATGGCTGTTTTTTGCACTTGATTACTAACAAGCTAATTTTTCGTGAGTAGCTTCGTTTCATTGAGTCGCCCAACTTTTTCCTTTGCGATATTTCTTGATAGTGGTAGCTAACTTAGCTAGTAGAGATAAAATATGTTGACTTGATAATTTATTACTAACTGGATTTATTTATGTTAAATCTTATGATAATTATCTAAATTATTCGAAAAAAAATTGTCCTACAAAATGTATGGTTTGATCGATGAATACCCCTCCTTTCAACATGTATCGATAACGAGATCATCACGAATTATTATTACTAACCAGCTGATTTTTTTTTAATTTACTTAGTTAATATTTATATAATTTACCAGTAACATTGTCCTACAAGTTGCTTGGTTATCCCGGTCCTACGCTTAAAAGTGGTTGATGCCACAAGTGACAAGACCATTTTTCTCATTACTAACTCTAGGACGAAATGCCACATGCTAGATTAGTGTGATTTCTGCCCAAATTAAGCTATGTCCTACAAAAAAACAGGTATGTATCACTTATCCGACAGGAATTGTGATTTTTTCGTTTTTTTTTATTTGTAACATAGGATATAAAGAAAATATTCTTTTTTTAATAAAAATATCTTGAATTTTTAGTTAAGATGAGTCCAAATTTAAAAAAAAATAATAATTAATCTTCATCAGATTCGTCTGATGAATCTTCGCTGCTTACATCGCTGTTATCTTTATTTATTTCATTGTCCTCATTTGTGATATCTGACTCTGTAATAACATGACAAAAGTTAGAAAATTATATAATAATACGTAATAAATCAATAATTAACAATAGTATTAATAGGGTACCTAGTATGTCAGAAGATAGTTCGTCAAAAGATGGACTTTGGAGACCACCAAACCAATAAAATTCATAATTGCCATCTATAATTGTTCATCCAAAAATTTTCTCCAAAAATTTTTCTGTGGGGCACCGCATGTGTGCATTACACCATATATTGCAGATGAATGCAGTTCTTTTAATTTTTTGCAACAATTCTTGTTTTGGTGGTTGCAAACTAGAAGAATCATATCCTTCGATTTTTGTTTTAAAATTTCTTCATTTCATTTTTTTGATTTATACCCGTTTTTCAAATAACTCATACCGCCCTTTGTTGATATCATTTTTTCGTTTTTAAAGGATACATTCTACATACATACTCTTCAATAATTTGAACTAACTTATTCGATGTGTTGGTGCCGTATTTTCCTAGGTAAGAGTTAAATAAAGGCCTCTTAAAAATTAATATATTTTTTAGAATATTAAAAGGTCTCTTTTTCCCTTACGAAAAAATGCAGGATTATAATCATTCCCTGTAAAAATATGGCATATGGCGAGTGAACAAGATAATTGATCTCCAAGCTTGGCAAAAATGTCGTTGATGTTTAAGTACACTTTTTTTTACTTGTGCTTAAATTGATAATGATTTGAATTTCATTTTTTAAATACTTAAAATTTGGTAATATATTAATTTATTTAGCTAGTAAGTAATCATTCGTGATGACCTCGTTATCGATACATGTTGAAAGGAGGGGGACTCTTTGATCAAACCATACATTTTGTAGGACAATTTTTTTTTCGAATAATTTAAATAAATATATAAGATTTAACATAAAAAAATCCTGTTAGTAATAAATTTTGGAGGATTATAAAATCAACATATTTAATCCGTGCTACCTCTGTTACCTACCACAATCGAGAATTATCGCACAGCAAAAAGTTGGGCGTCTCATTGAAATGGAGCTACTCACGAAGATTCGGCTTGAGTGTAATAATTTTTTATCAATTTATCAAATCAGTACTACTACTTTTAAGCGTAGGACCGGGATAACGTACCAAGCAACTTGTAGGACAATGTTACCGGTAAATTACATAAATATTAACTAAGTAAATTAAAGAAAAATCAGCTGGTTAGTAATAATAATTTGCGATGATCTCGTTATCGATACATGTTGAAAGGAGGGGTATTCATTGATCAAACCATACATTTTGTAGGACAATTTTTTTTCGAATAATTTAGATAATTATCATAAGATTTAACATAAATAAATCCAATTAGTAATAAATTTTGGAAAATTATCAAGTCAACATATTTTATCTCTACTAGCTAAGTTAGCTACCACTATCAAGAAATATCGCAAAGGAAAAAGTTGGGCGACTCAATGAAACGAAGCTACTCACGGAAAATTAGCTTGTTAGTAATCAAGTGCAAAAAACAGCCATGTATCCTGGACTAAAAAGTAGAGTTAGACAAAAATCTTTTAGAATTCAATTTTATTATATTTAAATAGATACATGACATAAGTGCGAGAGTTATTCTAGATTAATAATAAAATAAGCAAAACATGTAAAATGCTAAATGGAAATATTATGAAAAAAAAATTAGTAATATAAATTTTGAAAAAAAACAATACAAAATTGTCTTCACTTGACATTCCGTTTTCAACATTTGAAGTTGCTACCAGTACAAAGGGTGAAGTGCGGAAGGTGCGGGGTGGAGTAAAAGTAGAATAAACAGGTTAAAAACTAGAAAAGAACGTAGCATTCAAAAATTTGACATCACACCTACACTATCCGTGTACATTCACACACATGCAAAGCTCAGCTTAAATAAACGCACTATAATATATCTGTTGTTGTAATTTCAGTCATGCAAAGCACCTGATAGGCGACACCATCCGTCGCAACGCGTCTCCTGTCCGGCTCGAGGGTACTCTGGAAAATAGAGCTCCTTCCCGCGCTTCTATAGACTCTAACGGATCAGACGACGCGCGACCCAGGGAGGTAGGATAAATGGACATTATGTAACATACATCATGAGACGTTCGAGTAGGGTTTACAAGACAAGATTTGTGGATTGCAAGTCAAACAGGAGGAATGTAACCCACATCTGCCTTAAATATTTGTGTATCGAAATACTACTGCATAATACCTTTTGGAGCGCCTTAATGAAGCTGTCAACTGATTACAAACTTCACATCGCCTTACAGCATCAAGTATATGAATTTTATTTATTTATCCATTCATTTCAAGCAACAAGCAGAGTGAAAAAGTTATAACTACAGTTAGACAAATTGTGAATTTGCCCATACATATCAATCATCATGTTTTTCCAGAAGTCCCCTCACAATGGCAACAGAACTCTACTCCATAGCTTCTCAACGAATGACGCGGCTTTGGGAGAATACAAATATACCGTCACGTTTGGTCAACATTCCATCAAAATCACCGGGAACAATCTGGATCTGGTCAAGGTATGCCAATATTAAAAATGAAATTGACAAAGCAAAATAGGCTTTAAATTTTAGTATTAAAAGTATAAAGTTAATTATTAGTTTAAAAAGCTATTTGATGATGATTCCAGACGGCAAAGCTGGTGTTGGACGAGTGGTGTTCAACATTAAAAATGAAATTGACAAAGGAAAATAGGCTTTAAATTTTAGAATTAAAAGTAGAAAGTTAATTATTAGTTTAAAAAGCTATTTGATGATGATTCCAGACGGCAAAGCTGGTGTTGGACGAGTATTTCGAGAGTGCGGGTGCGTTGGAGGCGATGGGGCTCGGGTCGGGGGACTTCTTCACTCTGTCCCAGAGACCGGCCGCCGCGCTGCTGCTGAGAGATGACGCGGCGCTCAACGGGGCCGACGATGACGTGTTCGATACGGACCCAAGGACCGAAGAAGCCACTGGTTTGTATCGAGACTTACAAGTTATATACAGGGTGACTGGTGAATTACTATCGATATTTGAGGACGTGGTAGTTGACGATCATATATGACAAAATAAAAATTAATATAACATAAATATTAATAAACTTCTAAGTAAAGTTAACCAAAAGTTATGTAATTAATTACGCATCGTGTGAACACCCTACAGATTAGGTATACACACACACTCACACATACGCAGCGGGGGCGTGGTTTTGTATCAGCACGCCGCCGTACGCGTCCACACTAGGAACACTTGGAACGTGTCAACACTTTATTTATTTATACGGAAATTTTGTCAAAAATTAAGTACCTATTTTTTTTACATAATTCGAATGAGAATCATGTACCGAGTATGCTCCTTAAATATTGATAGTAATTCACCAGTCACCCTGTATATGTTACCGGAAAATAACAAGACTCGTAAGTTGATCAATTTTCTAGGTAGTTGATCAACTGTCGGAAAATAATGAACGGCAGTTGAAATGTACTATTTAAAGCATTGAATTTTAGGTAATTGGTCGACTTACGGTACCTAGCCGTAATTTAATAATTAACTAATTGCTACAAGTAAAATCATCCACAAATGAGCCAATCGTTGGCCAGTGTACTATTTGACGTACACTATTATCCGTCACTTAATAAACAACCTAACCTAACCAATCAACGTACACCTTGCCTTTGTGGGATAATTTAACGGCAAGACGCCGTAAATTAATCAACTTACTAAAATACATGCGTTAAATAGTACATTATAACTGCCATTCATTATTTTCCGACAGTTCATCAACTACCTAGAAAATTTATCAACTTACGAGTCTTGTTATTTTCCGGTGACGTATAAATACATATATAAAGCTGAGAATACAAAGCTCCCACAAAGGAGGTGTTATTACGGATTTTCATATTATTAATGATTGTTATCACTGAATAAATTACGGTAATAAAAAGAAATGTGCATGACAGGGTTGGACATTTGTCTTAGAGTCTAACACCTAGAATCGTTTTATGCATTTTTTTTAATAAAAAAGATTAGATTAGTATTAAACAAAATTATAATGAAGACTGACTTGGCATGTACTATTTAGTATGAATTTATTAAAAGTATGAATTATATATAGCCATTATTAGTTGAGTGTACGATTTTATATAACATTACAGCATTTATTATTTCCCATGTGTAGTTATATAATGTATTGTATTTATATTTAAATATAGTACTACAAATCATATATATTTTCTAAGTTAACATGAACGTTCGGCCTTTATTGACTATTCAACTCCATTCATCGGGATGTGTTCTTTAATGTGGGTGTGAGTTAGTGTTGATTGTGTTGGAGCAAGTTGTGTATGAACCGTTTGTGCAGTGGACGAGAGCGAGGCCGTGCCACGTCGCCCGCGTTTCTCGCGCGCCACCTCTACAGACAAGGGCGCAGGTGAGATATGTGTACACATATAGGTACAGCCAATCGCACAAACATAAACACCTTGTAGTCGATTACTGTGGTACACGCACAAAAAGATACAAATTGATATACTGGCACACTCAAAACACATGCAATTAGATACACTGGTACACTCACAGACGTTAAGATACACTGGCACACTCATAAACACATACACTTAGATACACTCTGTCTTTACACATAAAATTACATTTTTGTCCATTACATAAAGTACTATGTGATATGTGTTATAACTCATTAATTATGAGATTCACGGACCTACTTATATATCTATTGTCGTTTCTCAGTTATATGTACATATTATGTTATGTGTATTTTTCTATCTTGAGCATCACGTATCTTTATTCATATCGTTTAGAAACATGGAATGCTAAAGTCAGTCAGGATATACGACAAGACATGACAGTTTTTGGTACACTGTACCCGTTTTATACTAATCACTAACATAAATAGGAATATAGATAAATAATTATTTAAATAGTCTTAAACTGCACGTGTGGACGTTACAGAGTTGAATATATAATGTATGTTTGTCAGGAGGGGGCGCTCGGCAGACGTACTCGTACGAGACGCTGGTGCAGTACGCGGACTCGCCGCTCAGCAAGCTGCCGCCGGCCGGGCTGGCCGCCTTCCCGCCCGAGCTGGCGCGCAAGGTAACGCTGTCGGGCCCGCGCCGCGCGCCGCCTCCCGCGCCGCAGCCCGCGCCCTGCCGCCTCTGGCCGCCGCTGCACCACCCCAACTACTTGGCGGCTCTCCTCTGCCGCAACTTCTACTAGCCCCTCCTCCCTCCCTCCCCTCTCCTCCCACACTCCACTCCTCATACCGGTAGTCGCTGCTCGCAGCTGAGCTTCAGCGGGGGACTACATTCCGCTTTTGCACCTTAACGCTTTTCATACATGCATAAATAGTCACATCAACCGGATTGCGATCTACGATGTATTTTTCAGTTTTTTCTCGTATTTCTTGAAGAAATAATTGAGTTAAATAACGTTCGTGTCATAGTATATCGCAGTCCGGTCCGCTTGTTGCACGAGCTTGCTCACCAGTGGGATGATAGAGGTTAGTTTCATTGGAGTCGGCGGAACAATCGCGACTTTAGACGGTGACAAATTTTAGTGAAATTTTTGCTAAAACAAAGCTTTCCAAAATTGAGCGAGACCAGTTGAGTAGTTCATTAGGTTTAACGCTAAGCGCAAATTATCTTGTAAGTGCACTTTAGGAACTTTAAATGATCTCAGTAGTGTAAGTTGTACGTTAATGATAAGTCCGAGGCCGCCCGAGCCCGCGGCTCCACTCGCCGCCTCTTTATATACACGAGATGTTTTTTACGAGTAGTTATTGTAGTATATATTATCTGTTGATTGTTGAACGTTTTTATTGTATTTTGAATGTGTTTACTAAAATGACGAAATTTTCAATGTTCATGCTGCTCGGACAGAATGGATATTCAAGAGGGGTCCGTTACAGGTAGACGCGGCGCCATAACGCTTTGTTGATGGGAATCTTTTCATGTTTTTTTTTTTGTTTTGCGTTCATTCAATGTTCGTGTTTTGATTGTTTATTAAATTATCAGTGTTGTTTCTCATTGTCATTTTCTGATTATTATCAAATATAAAAATGTTTAAAAAATGTAAACTGTCTTTGCTTGCACTTCTCGCTTCTATCCTATTAATACATCAACCGCTTTCTAATAACTACCACACTAACACCATCATTACGCTCGCTTTAATATTCAATGTTAATAATATCATCGACGGTTGTGGGTAACATCAGACTACTGAATGCTGTATTTTAATTTTAATTCCTTAGGACTTACTTGACTGTTATAATAAGAGAAGTAATTAAATAATGATTTCAGATTATTCATTTGGAGAAGATTTTGTCATTTAATAACGTTTATACGTTGCTTAGTAACGAGTCATTTTAATGTAATTTTCTCAATTAGTATCTACGTAGTCGTGAAATAAAATGTGTTTTCTGTTGCTATAAGTTTATCGTCTCCTCGCAGCATGTGAGTGTGTTGTGTGATGAATGAGAACAGGAGCGCTCTAACAGCGTGATTGGTATCGACAGACTTGCCTGGAGTTCGACAGCGTCAGCTACTTGAAGAAGGTGCGCGCGGCGGCCGGCGTCACATTAACGCTGGACGCGCCCGACTCGCCCGAGCCCGAGTGACCCGCGAACACCCACACGCACCCGCACGACACCCACACACACCCACAACACCCACACCATGAACCAATCATTCTGTTACACTCACTTTGCACGTCAAAACTTAAATAAATTTAGCTCCTGTACCCGGCAGCTTCGTATTGTTTATCTTGAGCCATGTCCACGGCGCGTGTTTTAGATCTTATATATTAGTCGCTTAGAGCCGTCCGTCTCTATTGACCTTGTTTGCTTGTATTTTAATTTAACTAATTTATCGAACTCATTAACTACTAAAAGTATTATCTCACCAAAACTATTTATTTATTTATCTCGGTAGACGGTTACAGAGTCGTTTTTACTTCGAATATCTTGTTACTTCTTGAAATTTCGTGAATCTTAATGAGGATTGTGATATAATATCTCCTTAAAGACATGTTCGTTAGTCCGTCGTTACGTTTTGATCTCTATATATCGCTTGTTAGATGCAATTCTTTGAAACAATAAAATGCTTATAAACAAAGGAACAAATGAGTGCAATTCTCCGGATCCGAAGTGCCTTGAGTTAGATGTAGGTATTATCTGGAGACGTGACCAGCGACAGTCGTCACTGAGTGATTCCATTTACTTTAAGAAGAATGCATGCATTTCTTTGTGTGTTTGTTAATTCATAATCGATTTGTATCTAGTGTCTAGTCCTGAAGGTAGGTGTCGATTCTCACTATTTCTTAAGCTTTTGATTATGTTCGAGGAAGCCTGCCTCGTCAGATTTATATATTAAATCCAAAGCGTTTAAAAATATTATGTATTCGTTATTTCGATGGTATTAAATTTTAAAAGCTGTGTCTTAAACCAAATAAATTATGATTATTGTTATTTAAAATTGAATATTTAATATATTTTATTAATTTTAAATCGGGCTTTCTCGTGTGACCTTGAATAAAGTATCTGATGTAAAATTTATAACAGAAAATATATTCCTACGATATATACATTACATAAGACTGTTATAAAGCTCAGTGTTACATTATGCAGATCGCTTTCTATCTACTTTGGTAGTTTTATTTGTTGTTTTAAACCATCTTCGTAATAAACTTGGTAGTGTTCACTATATTGAAGAGACAGTCATATATTTATGATATAAAGAGTTTATAAAGTCAGATTGATCAAAGATATATTTACACGAATTATCACGTTACATATATATTTACACATTAGAGTTGGTGCTCATTGTGAGTTTAATAATATTTTATTTTATGTTAACAAATTTTGTTTTTTTTTTTTCGTCCAAATTACAGAAGGCTATATTGTTAAAATTTATGATATACTAAATTTCCTAATAAACTAGTGTTTTATTTTTTACCGCCTTTCCCCTACACAACAGATTACTGTATATTTTGAAATTTGGTAGCTCTTGAGGCTCTTGAACTAATCTTCGAGATGCAGTTCTGATTTGTTTTACAATGTTAAAATCTTACAAAAAGGCTGAAGACAGTATATTTTTATAGTTTTTCAAATACAGGTTGATACTCGAATGTTGCCATTTCAAAATTACAAAGGTCCAGTATTATAATTAATTCTGAGGATTACAATTATTAGTACAACACAGAGAACGCCACCTGTAGCACTAAATTGAAATGAGAACTTCGTGAGTAGATATAATAAATATATTTACAAAACAATAAATAGCTTGTCCGCTATACAACAACAATTTAAATGAATATACATACATATATTTAGATTACTTTCAACATTATTTTACCTTAGATCCATTCATCTTTTCTGGACTATGAATACTTTTAGAATGCAACCATATATTCAACATCGCTAAATGCACCTAATTTTTTGTTCTTTCTGATCTCATTTACAATTGTCAGAGGAAGAACATGGGTACGTCACTTTGTCTTACAATAACTATAACAAAAACGCTATAATAGATACCTCTGAAGCAGTACATATGCTAAAACATTAGCGTCAAGTAAATGCAGATTCATAATTTATATAAATACATTATTGCACAGATTATAAAATATTCAAATGACATTTTATGTCCTTAATATATTGAATAATCATGTGGAATGTACTACTTGATTTATAAAAAATATTAAATATATAGATCTTTAAGCCTGTGAGGTTCTAGGTGGCACAATAGAGGTATTCTATTTAGCTCGATGTAGTGATATCCTATGTAACGAGTTTATATTCTCTCTGCTAGTTTGTCAGTAATGTTAGCGGCTCGTGTGCGCGCGTGCTGCATTATATCTTCGGCGAGGTCTTCAACCGTCGTGTATCTGGATTTTTCGAAGCTGAATATGTCTGTTATGAAACCAATTATCTCCGCTTGGAAGGTTTCACAGACGTCCTTCAACCTTTCCCGTGGTCCGAGGAAACCCCACACAAGTACAGGGAGGAGATGCTCCGATATAGAATAGAAGTGAGCCATGAACCCGTCAGGGTACTGGAGGTAACGCCTCTTAGCTTTGATGACGGACCACACGGCTGTTGTTAACGCCTGGAATACGTACACAGATACTTAGAAATCTACAGTATAAGGTTTTCTGCATTGCTTTGATGTAAATTGGATATGAGTGAAGGTACGCCCCAAAAGTGAATTTTAAACGACAGTATAACAAGGTCATCATTTAGAATAAAGAGGCGACTTTGTAAACTTAATTTAGTACTTTTATGTGAGTGTTAATTTTTTTTAATTTAGATCTCAAGTTAAGCAATAAGGTATCAATGTCTTATAACTCCTATAATACAATTTCAAAATAAAATCATTTAGGTACATTATATACTATTTCATAATTCTATCTTCCTCTATTATAACTTTTGTTCTAATATTATAGTACAAGGTGTTCCATACAATGATGCTTGAATATATGAAATGAATGAAACAGCAGCCATTAGCGACTTAGGTGAAACTAACTCAAATACAATGTAACACTAGACCGGAAGAGCAGCACGAGTGCATTAGTCAATCGTGAGACCATTATAGTGCGTTTGATTTAAGTTGAGCTTTGCATTTGTGTGAGTGCACACGGATAGTGTAGGTATGATGTTAAATTGTTGAATGCCTTGTTCTTTTCTAGGTTTTAACCGGTTTATATTACTTTTACTCCGCCCCGCACCTTCCGCAGTTCACTCTTTGTACGGGTAGCAACGTCGAGAATTTGTATAGTTTATTCAAAAATTTTATTTATTAATTAATTTTTTTCAATACTATTTATACTCATATTTTTATCTGCTTTTTTACAAGTTTTGCTTATTTTATTTTATGTTATGTATCTATTTAAAATATAATAAAATGGAATTCTAAAAGTTTTTTTGTCTAACTCTACTTTTACTTTCACACACACAAATGCTAAGCTCAGGTTAAGTCTAACGGACTATACGTTTAAGCAGTAGACCATAAGACAAGAAATATAGTTAATTGTTAGAACTAGTATAATCCAAACAATGTAAATAGTCTCAGTTATCTAAATATCTCACTAGGGGAGCCACTGTCTATGTCGAAAATATCACTCTGACTATACTCTCTCTTATGTCAACTGTTTGAACTATGTTTTTTTTGTTTCGATTTGACTAAAGCTGTTAGCGCTAATGGCTTTCACAGCGTCACCGAGAGGGGTGGGACCCTGATGGGACCGACACGATTTAATTCGAGCCCGAAGGGCCTGACCAAGAGTCAAACTGTGTGTTATCGTGATAATAAATCTCAATACTAACGCTCTCTTTAAACCCGTCCGAGAGCCACCTGTTCCTGACCACGGCCAGCACGGATGCGGGCGGCGCGGCGAGGTCCTCGAAGGCGTCCAGTAGGATGTAGTCGAGCACCACGTCGTAGAACGACAACACGCGCACACCCTTGGCGCTCAGCTCCGCCTCCAACACCGGCCAGTTGGACGCCTGCGACGACCACGACACCAGCTCCTCGTACGACACTAGGAACTCCTTGGGCTCCTGAAATAATGAAATATAATGAGAAGCTTTATTCATCGCTTAGATCCATAGTGACACGATCATGTTAAAATTGAGTTAAAATTCGGACGGCACAGAAATACTTGTATCCAAAAACCACCAATGGCTTATTTATATAATAATAATGTTTATTTATCTCAAACACATTACAATTGTACGTATAGACATTAACATAATCTGATCACAATGCATACAGGTAAAAGGTATTTGGGTAAATAAAATCTACTCTCCCTGAGCTAGGTATAAACATGTATTTCAGGCAAATATTACAAACGACTGCATCTAAATTGCACAGCTAAGTTTACGTCAGTCGTACCAAGCCCGAAACTCGTGGAAATTTTGACACTTTCATACAGCAGCCTGTCCCTTATCTATACTAATATTATAAAGCTGAAGAGTTTGTTTGTTTGTTTGTTTGAAAGCGCTAATCTCCGAAACTACTGGTTCGAATTGAATAATTCTTTTTGTGTTGGATAGTCCAGTTATCGAGGAAAGCTGTGGGCTATATAACATCACGCTACGACCAATAGGAGCAAAGATATAGTGGTAAATGTGTAAAAAACGGGAGAAATTATTTCATCTTTGAAGCCTTCCGTTGCGTGCGCCGTGAAAACAGTTCAAGATACACAAAAAATAAGTATTAAAGAATAATAGCTCTTTTAATGATCTAAAAAACAGTCCACCACAGTATATGTCTATCTTTTAAGATTAACTCACAAAAACCGTTTTTATGGTACCTAATTTGGTCGAAATAATTTGTTTAAGTTGTATCAACATAATAATATTAATCTTTATTCAAATAAATATGTTGTTGGTTAAGAGTACTGCATTGTGAATAAAAAAAACATAGGTTTTGTCCTGAAAATGCTACGGGAACTCGACCATTCCGAAAACTCCACAAGAACGGGAACTATGTGGGAAGAATCTGCCGGAAGTCACTATTCCACGCAGACGAAGTCGCGGCAAAAGCTAGTAGGACATAATAACATGTGGTTGGTTGTTGACATCACCTTATCAGCATACAGCAGCAGGTCAGTGAGGACCTGTCGCCCAGCGTCTACCAGCCAGGCGCGTCCCGCCACGCCGCCCGCCCCGCCCAGCGCGACGTCCAGCGCGGACCGGACGCAGTGTAGCTTACACAGGAACTCCGCCTCCGACCCGCATTGCAACACCTCCGCACGAACCGTCCTTCAACAACAAACAAATAACTTCATTAATTGGAACAATATTCTGTTCGCCCAATAGTCCAGTCATTTAAGCTTAAATTAGGTAAGAATCTCGGAATTCGAGATACCCAGCTGTAAGTCTGTAAATAGTTGTATATTGACACCCTAAAAGTTGTCTCAAAACCTACATATGGTAGGGTGTAAGCAACTATTAAATTTCAGGGTCAAAGTTCACAAAAATCGGTTTTTTGCTCTTTTTTTGGAAATATCTCATTTTCTATGGGTTTTTTGCTATTTGTATTTATTATCAATATTGTAGAATACTAAATTCTCTACAAATTTTGTTTCAAAAAATTTTTTATACGGTGTACCGTTTTCGAGATAGAGGGCGGAGAGCGCGCATCAACATTTCAACCGTGTATATTATCAAGTTCAAACTTGGTTAGGACATGATTTGGAACCCCAGGTATGGGGTTGGGCAATGCGAAATGATTTTCTGGAGCCTATCATGACAATTTTACCATCTGCTCCAGAAAATTTGCTAAATACAATTTTCTGCAACTGCAAAAGTGGTTGTGGTTCGCGATGCGGATGCAGGAAAGCGGGCTTGCAATGCTCTTTAGCTTGTGGCCAATGTAATGGGCAAGCTTGTCTCAATGCTCAACCATATCAGAGCGACATTAACGAAGATGGAACCTTTGATCCCGAAATCATGGAAGAACTTGAGACAAATGTCGTTGAAGACGTAGGTTTTGAGACAACTTTTAGGGTGTCAAAATACAACTATTTACAGACTTACAGCTGGGTATCTCGAATTCCGAGGTGAACTTACTATGTATAATGACTGGACTACAACAGAAATTCAAAGATATACATTTTCCAGTTTTTAAGTCATCAATATTTAATATCAAAGGTATGTGAATCACGAGTAGTAAACTTTCTTTATGTAATGTGACGAACAGAGACAACACGTTTGAAAGAAAAAGCCTGATTACATCAATCAATCACAATAGGAAAGAGAAAACGATATATGAGAGAAAGAGATGGCGAATGTAATGCGGGAGAGGGGAGTGTCACGTGGTATGAGTCACCTGCAAGGAATGCCATGTTCCAACTGTTTAACGGCCGCTTGGTACAGTTCCAGCTTCTCAATCTCTGGGAATGATTCAGCCAAGTCGTCGAACTCACGCAAGTCCGCTACCTGGAACGAGAGAGATAACCACTTACACTAAGATATTCATTCCTTGATGGTGCTGAAAATATTCAAATGCCAAATAGAATGTTATGAACTTTTTACTAATTAGTGACTAAGACCCAGTTTCACCAAACAATGTTAAATAAGTAACATCGTGTTAAGGCGTTTGATGCTCTTTTAGATGTATTGAGCGTCCCACCACGCACAAATGTCCGTTTAAATGTCTTAACCAGCCACTAATATTAATTCCTGCTCTGGAGCTCCGTCTAATGGCTAACAGAATGTTAATGGCATTGTCAAAACTCACTTGTCCTATCACAGCCCTGATTTCTTGTAACCATAGCAACGTCATCTGTTTTGTTAGTGTCGACTATTTCCTTGTTATAATTAATAAAATGAATTAAAATTTCAGCTAGTATGATGATTTTGCCTCCAGCTTTTCTATGACATTGCAAATTAAGTTTTCTTTTTATTTCTTATAATTTGAACACAATTTATGTCTATATTTATAACACAATGTATTGACAACACGATTTTGACAAGTAACACCTAGTAAATTGAAAAGAAAGCTTTTTGTGCGCTAAATGTATGCAACTAACGATATATAAAATTTGGTCGCATTAGCTTACTAGTGACGTATCGAGGGATATATACGATCAAAGTATAAAGTGGTACATCGTGGCAAACGTGCCGTGTTAAACGCTATAGTTTCCACTTGGTTGTCTTATAACAAGAACGAATAAATTGGTAGTCGGTTATTTGACATGACGTTTAATAATGCGTTGTTAATTTGTCATCGTGGGACGTAAATATTTTAACAGACATTTATAATTTTGAAGGTTGGTTAGTAAATGCTGTGATTAGACTAAACAAACATTGATTGGTGAAACTCGGTCGTAATATGTTAGAAATACCGCTGTAATATTTAATTTGTTATTATTGTGTCGTGGGTAAAATTTATAACCACCTTCAATTACTTTTTACTTGTCGATTAATAAAAGATCGATATTCAATATTTAATGAGTTATACTGACCTGATCTTCAGCGGAGGCGAATGATTCAGCGCTAGAGTGATGTTCCTTGCGTGTTTCTGATGTGTGTGAGGATAGTAACCTGGTGCGTCGCCCTGAACCCTCCACCCCGCCGCCGCTCTCCGAACGAAACAGCACCGACCGCTGATCGAGGAACAGCAGCTCACAGCGCTCCTTGACAATCATAGTTCAATTTATACTGGTTGATAAGAACCTATTATTTAACATATGTATATATATGAATTCGATTTTTTTTAAATTTCAAATAACAAAAGACGTAATGAAACGAGAATATATCAAACGTCTGACAGTCGTTTTCAATTTACACCAACTTACTTTGAGACACTAAATTAATTTTTAATACGTCTCGTATTCAGGGGAGGTTAGATTAATTTTTCCCACTTCTTATACATTTCAATGATTGGACATATAAATATCTTACTTGTAGCATATACGCGTTCTGCAATAAATCCTGTATCTCCCTACAGAACTCTGCCTCCTCGGGCGAGGTTAGCGCCAGGGCTCCGGTCACCCCACCACGAGCCCCCATCGAGAACGCAGCCAACGCGTCCTCCCAATAATTTATACTGGTTTCTAACGCCTCCATTCCTATGACAATATAAATATTCGCAGTTAATAGGATTCTATTATTAGTAAAACTCTCCTTTTCGAGGGGGAGACAGGTTTTAGTAAGTCATTTTTAGTCTATAATATTATTAACATAAAAATAATGCTTAGATTTTTTTTCCAAAGATTGATGAATAGCTAAAATCAGAACTTTTGCAACATTAAGTTTGATAGTGAAATACCTTAGCCTGCCTTATAATAAAATTGAAACTTAAAATATTTTTGTATTTAAAATTTACAGGGTAATAAAACAAAATTAAGATGTATATTAAAATGATTTTCTGTTATTTTTTAATATATATATATATTTTTACAAATTACTCTAAAAATAAATAATTCCTACAGTACATTGTACACTATAAATACAATTTAAAGAAAACATAATCAATTAAATTAAAAATCTCTAACCTCACTGCATTAAAAATAATTTCAAATTATTATGAATGGACACTTGTTTCTTATAGCTATTTAAAATATAATTACAATAATTTTATTTATAACTATGTACAAAAAAGTTATTTAAATCCACTATCATAATTAATTATATATGTAAAGTACTTTTTTCACAGGACATGAATTTAAAATTTTATGTAAGTGAGCACTTAATTATGATAAAATATATAATAGATAATGTGTTTTACTATTGTCACACCGATTTATAAAAATCATTGTACTAAAAATTTATATACTAGAAATGACACATTATTTAAATAATTATTAACATTTGTTTTGTTATTATGACTAAAAAAAATTCTATTTCACTCCCAGTTCACAAAATTAATTATGAAGACACAATATATATAGAATAGCAATAAAGTTAATATTTACAGAAATATCACATCTTTCATTGATGATGTCTCATTATGATCGGACTGTGAATGCTTCATTGAATGCTGTAAAACATTCTTCTGTGAACCGTTCAGATCCTGTAATGTCCCAGCGATGGCCGTCAAAGCATCTGCTATCCTATCTTCTATAATACTCTGTCTCTCCTCCTGTAATCTCATTGAATTTGCTATTGATTCTAATGCATTTGCCATTCGTTCCTCCGCTGCAATTCTCCTGTCTTCCAATTCTAACGCCCATTTTGGTGGTGGAGTGCCAGATCTTGATAAAGTATCTGAAGAAAACATTCAAAATAAACTTAATAGTCATGAACATTGAAATATGAAATTTCTTTGTTAAAAATAATCCCTATGTTACCTGTAATTGATTTTCTTTTTATCGATTGGGATATATCTTGAAAGATTGGTTCGGAACTGTCCATTGCATGCTCTGATTCAGAATCATCTGCCAGGAAATTCTCCAATTTATTTGATGAAGATATTGTTGCACTGACACTGCCTTTTCCATTGAGATCAAGTACACGCACTTCTAGATCATTCAGTGGTACAAATCTATGGGAACCACTTGTATTTTTTGTTTGAAATCTTCTAGCATTTGCTGCTTTTTTTCTGCACCTATGCCTCCATTCAAACCAATACTGCATAACAGAAAATTATTTTAATAAATTATAAATATACAAAATATAACATTTAAGATACCAGAGTATAAATAATCATATTATTATTTTTCATTTGCATTACCTTTTTCCATCCGTCAGGAGCTTTCTTGGCACCTCCTTCAATACTATTCAGAGTCTTAGCTAACTTAATCCAGTTTTCTTTAATAGTTTGATGTGATATCGGAGAGCTAGGAGGAATACCTTTGGACATTTCTTTATTTTCCTCTAAAAAATCTATCATGATTTCTAACTGTCTTCTTACAATTTTCCTAGGAGGAGCCATCTATATGAATAACAAAAACATTAATTTGTTTTTATTACAATAATCATTTAATATTTACATCGGAATGTTTTTTTTATAAAATAAAATCTTTCATCAAATCACCTTATACACCGGTTATAATAAATCAGAATTTTAAATGTTTAAATAGAAAACGTAAGTTTAATTCATTACAGGACAAAAAAATAATTAACTTACCTTTGATGAAAATCCTATAAAACCAAACAGTACAGTTGTAATCAAAACAAATATCCCGCGGTTTTTTGACACAAGCAATTTCTTTCATTTACGATTACAACTTGTAAAAGTATATGTAATGGCGATCAAGTCATGCATAATATGACAGTTCATACCGAATTCAATATGAATGTGTCGACTTCGTAATTGGCGTCGACGTTATTTATAGGTAGTGCCATCTATCACAGCTTGAGTGAAAGATATTACTTTCACAATACTAGATGTCGTTACTAGTAGGGGCAAAGATCTGAAGCGCCATCTATCAGTGAATAGCTGTATTACTTCATAAGCTGTAAAGATAATATAATTTTTCTTAAAAAATATGGATCCTTTGAAATGAATATGCTTCACTTATCCTAAGTTATGTAACCAGTAAATTAATATCACTCTTGAATTGCAGCCTGAAACCGAATACTCTTAGACAATATTTTTTATGTTACTTCTAGTGGGAACGTTCATGATAAATCATAATTTTGTTTTAATAAAACTAACAAATTTGATTTATGAATAATCATAATTAGATTATGAATAAATGCGGCTACTGTCCACATGTTACTTTAAAAGCGGAAGGCGAGGCAGTCGACCGAGTGTCAGCTTACTGCTACCCTTAATTAATTCCGTTACCCCGAATTTCTAACCACTGCCACGGTTTTCTCACGAAACGCTACGTAACAATATATTCCTTAAACCGGAAATTTACCGAAACATTTAACGGAAATTAAATTAGAATTATAATCTTTTAACATATAAAAATAATATATTTAATTACTTTATAAAGGAGGCCGCACCTCATTTAGGAATGATTTGCGTAAAAAATTATTGCTATAATCAAGTGAAACTAAATTGCTCGTTCTTCCGATGATTAAATTTCTTTATTTATAATTCTAACAATATAATATTCAGGATAAACGTTCATGTATATTTATGATCTATCAAAGGCTTTTAAATAGAATGATTAGTTCTTGAGGTATATGCAATTTACACGTAAACCGCATTGCTTGAAGCGATGGATTCTATAGTTGACAGCATAGTACTAGTGTATGTCACTCGTCACTCGCGTTATAGCGGTCCGGGTCTTGGCTGTCAAAGTTAATGTCTAAAGCCGACACTCGCCGGCCGACGCGCGGTGCACGCCAGTCTAGTCGACACACCGCTCAGAAGCGGTAGTCTACGCACGCTTAAAAAAATATCATCCACACTGGATCAACTGTACTCTGGGATTAATCGTAATTGTTAACAGTGTTTCATTCCACGTATATTGGTGTATGTGATTATATAGGTGGAAAATTATTGTGACCTTAAAACGCGTCATTATCCCGCGCTTATTGACTCTGGTCTTACGGACAACAGGTAAGAACAAAAACAATATCCATAACAGTAATCCGACACCGAAAATCAATGGGATTTATGTAAGTCTAATCTTCTTATAAATGAGAATATCGCACCTGAGTGAACAGAGAATATTTTGGTAACACGGAATCTTAAATATTTTGCTAAACAAGCGTCTTTCGATACTTATCGATGGATTAGGCTGAGATGTTTTATGTAAGACGTACGTTACTTTACTGTTTTGTTATAAGGAAACTGTCATACTGTTATAATGAATATAATTATAAAAACACAAGGATCTCCTAACACGTTTCTTTTAAACCGGTTCATGCACGCTGCTCTGCTGCCAAGACTTATGCAATGGACAAACCCTATCAGCGACCCGCCTATGAGCTCATCCGTTCTTCAAGATATCTGATAGCTACATTTATTTAAAGTTACCGTTAACACTAAATCGGTTACATATATCAACTACTACTGAGTAGATAGATATTAACACCAATGTAAGGAATTACTCCATACATATAATTTTTCAATACATGATAAGTATAAGTCTTATTTAAAATCAGTAAACCTAGATTATAATAGCATTATTTATTCTTAAAATTATATAATGTTAATACATCCGCATCGATAGATGATTGTGCTGAAATACAAACATCTGCCAGTGAAAAAAAATTTTAGGACCTACCATTGTTAGGGACAGCTGCGCCCCATCCACGTGCTTGAATGAATTATTTGAGATAATTCACACATCGAACGAATAATAAATCATAGTGAATATACAATGACATTCCGCAACTCTTGGATACGTTCAAAAATTTAAATGAATCATCCATTGGCATTAAATTTATCGTCGATTTCCGCTAAAATTCTAAGAAATTATTCTTGACTATTTAATGATTAATTTAAGACAATGATTTTATTTGTCATCACATCAACCAGTACATTCAATCTACATAGCTATGTTACATCATTACAGAAACTTAAGTTTGATTTAGAAAAGGTTGGAGTTGTAGACGTAAGGCGACGACGTATCGATTTACAGACGAACTTTGCTCACGTAGAGTAAGTGAATCTCTTGTACAAATAATACACAGATTGGAATACACTAGAATCCGAAAAAAGTATAAAAATCAATGTCTTGTATAGTGACAACAAGTTTATGTGAATACGCCTTAACTTTAATAAGAACTGTCCACAAACTTTGCAATTATCTGCCGATGGAAACTAATCAAATTGCCATTGACCGGTTCTACGCTGTTTGTAAAATCAATTTGTTCCTTCATCAATTATTAACTATTGTTTTACTGAAGCTTATCTTAGTATAATTCGATCTTAAACGTTGTTAGTCTCATTTTAAATTAGATCAATTCTGTAATTCTTTTACTTGGAGGGTTTCTGTCACGAATCCGTTTCCGCGAAGAGAACGACGTTCTCGACTAGAAAATTGTGCCAATTTTCAGGGTGCGCCCTCTGACAAATATAATTAACTGTTATCCGAACGCAATCACAATGTATTTAATCTGATTATTTTTTAAAGAAATCTTTTAAATTTACCATATTTTTATATAAAAAATTGGTATTATTTGTAATAAATAGCTTATATCGTATGTTGTTAGATAAATCTTTAGCATTCCAGGCATAAAGAATGTTAATTAACTAGATTATTAAATGTAATTACTAAATACACATATATTTTTTACGATAAACATCGACGTGGACAATATTGCGAAAACATTTAGGATAAAATGTTTGGTCTTGCAATTTTTATGAAACGAGGTCGTATCCCTTGGGCCCGAACAAATTGAGGAAAGCTTTTCATAATTTGCCTTTTTATATGTCCACTGTGTTAGTGTTTTTATGTTATACATGGAAAATGTAAAGCATGAGGCTAGTTGGAGCTAAACGCCGTTGTTTGGTCCTAGTTTCATATGGTGACGTAATACACAAGGTCACTGTGGTAATGAAGGGTCCAGGGTCTGCTTCGTATGAACGGTATCGAGACCCTTTTCTATTCCGTGTATTCGTATGCAGGCCGCGCGGTGCGGGCGTACTCGATCAATACGCGCGCGACGAGTTCTCACTACCACCGCCGGCCTCAAATATACACCGAACACAATTACGATCATCTCATACAATATTATTATTAATTAATTAAATTAGTTTCGAAACATTTATTAAATATAAAAATATATAATTGCTTATTTTTTCACATAAACTTGTCAGTTTCATCTATTTATTCACAATGTTCAAAGCTTAACGCAATTAATAGGTTTATACGAAATGATGTCATCGTTTTCGTCAACTGTGACGAGAAAAAATATGTACAAGCAAAGCAGCCATTCAACAAGAATCATATTATAGGCCAGTGACCGCGTGGCCCTGATCTTGGTGAAAAGATTGACGAACATTCCTACAAAGCTTCATACAATCATTATTATAACTATAACTTATTTAACAACTCCGAATTATTAACTATTTTCTTTGTTATTATTTGTATAGTAATTTACAAAAAAAAATATCATAAATTATTAAAATTTTGCGACAAATGTTAGCTAGTTTGTTATGTAAATAATTAAAGACGCTTATCTTCTGTTACGTAGAGGATGCTTTGTAACAGATTTGTATTAATATTGATGAAGCTGTCATTAAAGCCGCTCTGGATACAAGCAGAGGGTATTCCCATGTTAGGAGGGGAGAAATCTAACTGTTGACTAATAGCTTAATACACCTCCAATGGCGATCAGAAAAGGGGAGAACTAGTACGGCTATCTGCAAAAACTAACTACAAAATTATACATAACTAGCTGACTCGTCAAACATTGTTTTGCCATATAAAAAATAGGGGTTGGTGTAAAAAAGTAAAAAAATGTTTTGTATGCATTGTTTTAATGCTACATTATAATAATTAAAAACAAAAATTTCGTGCGAAAATAAAAATAAATATGCCCACAAAATTTTATCAAAGTCGGTCCAGCCGTTTCGGAGGAGTTCTCTGTCTAACACCGCGACACGAGAATTTTATATATAAGATAATGTATTAATGGAAATTGGTTAAGGAAACTCAAAAGCCATTATGATATTTAAAATCCGAAGTGAGTTTTATTCCTAGTTCAACCGGAGAAGTAAGTTTATTTAAGTAAAATGATACCACAACATTCAAAAATTTATCTCGTATATAGCGTTGCTTGAATCGTTTTTATAGGAATAATAATAAATTTAATTCCTCCAAAACAAATTATATGTAACACAATAGTACTCGGGTGCGTGGGTACCTGGATGTCTTTATGTTTTTCTGTTTGAGCGGCCATTGCTCCCCATACACGACCCTTGGCCCACAATCATCAGAGAGAGGGGAGCGTACAGCTGCTCTTTTCTTTTGAGACACGAAATTTTTATAACGCTCGGATCTACCTGGTTTGCTAAACAGTATTGATTTGTATCAACATTCCTCAGTCGAGATTAAAATATAAATAATTTATTTCAATCGAACGATTTAGCACAAACACAAATTCCAACAGACGTGTAAGTAGAACATCTAAAATTCTTTTTTGTATTGATTCGTATAATGCAAAGATTTCAACAAGATATCTTATTTGTAGGGAAGCGAATTATGTTTAATAGGCACTCATTTCCAGTGCCATTGTTATAACAGAGCAAAATTCTTTTCTATATTTTCTCTCAGTTCTCTTCAGCTGAAGTGAGGAGAGTTCACGGCCGCGGAAACAATCGATTGGCGTATTATAAGTTTGATTAGACAATGAAGTATTTCTATTATGTTTTCCTGTTCACCTTGTGGAATTATTTTAAGCATTATTTCTTACAAATGTCATTAACAATAAATCAGCTCGTAGGTCCAGATGTTACTATAAATTAAACTCCTTGTTATATCTAATGCCGTTTGTAAGAGGATGTGTTATTAAGTTGTCTGTTGTGAACATAACTAAAAATTAATTGCTCTCGTAAACCAACGCGGTCAATGTGAGGAAATTAAATAAACACGCGAGGACGCTTCTTGGTGTTATCTTTACATTTGAATTTAAAACATTGTTTTAGATAATAATCAGGTTGAAAGAAGATTCATATCATATAAACGGTTTTTTTATTATATAATCCTGTTTGTTCAAAAGGGTTGTTCGATGAAGTACAATTTGTGTTAAATTACTACTATTAAGTAGCATGCGGTTTTGGCAGGTGTTTGAGTCTATATAAAAAGCGTCGCTATCACAGTAGTATCGAAGGGGCCCCTCCCCCAACCGGCGCGTGCGCATCCACGTGTTCACGACCACTCAAGCATTTAACTAAACTAATAGTTATTGCCATTATCATGTTAAATTGATGTTAACCATATCAGTTATGTTATTTGTTGTAAACTTCGAATTTATTTAAGATATTTGATATCCGGATCGAATTGACCAGTGATGTAATGATTATATTTTATGACCTAATAATCAGGCAACAATGTTACAAAAGAGCCCTCATCATGGTCAGCAGTTAGAGCTATAATTTAATATCCGCCCAAATATCCTACTTCCTACTAAATAACACGTTACAATCTACAGATAACAGATTTGAAAAGCCGTTAACTGTTGTTAGTTTATTGGAAACAATTCATTGGAAACAAGAGCGGTGCAATTAAGTGAAAGCCTACCTTTGGCGATATTTGGTTACAGCTATGCAATGCACTCGAGCGAAGATTATAGTGCCATATACGAGAGTTGTCTAGCCTCATGTAAAAGGCATTGAGCGGACCTAGAAATATAGTTTCTTCGGCTTCCGTTCCAAATAAAATGTTGCTCGTTCGTTTGTCCCTGCGTGATAAATTGTGACAGTAAAATTGATGGCTGAATGGACATTTCGTGACACTTTTACAAGTACATATATAAAGAAACTCTAAACTGTATGATTAAGTTAACATAAGTATGTCATATATACAGTAGATTTTATGTTTATACAAAGCTAGCCTGCCCAAGGCCGTACCATTTCCCGAAGGTTGCCATCAAGGCCTCGTCTGCGCTGTATGGAGTAACCTTCAGATTTCCCTCTTTGTCTTTTGTTCCACTCGATAAAACAGGTTGTGTATTTTTATCCCGCTTAGACTCTAACGAGCTTTCTATTTTGTATCCCACTGGCTGTAATATTTTTAGAATATCATTGTTATGAACATTCCGCGGTATTCTTTTTATATTTATTGTTCATTATTATTTCTACATAAGGCAAAATCAATAGATGTGATTGAATTAAATGCCTTATTGTTATTAATTGATTATTCATAGAACAATTCCTAGGTATCATGTGTAAGGTATGCAGCGGGTAATAAGTGGTGAGCATGATGTTATTTTAATGATACAATTACAACAGATACATCTATAATGAACTATAAAAATTCCGGAAGCCATTGCAATTCACGGTGTTACACTTCCTGTGGGTCATAGAAGGTCCCTTTTGCGGTCACCCCGATTATTAACGGTTGTTGGACACTATGAAAATAATTATAATAATTACAATTAATTGCTTATTTACACTCAAATGTGAAATTAACTATAATACTTATCGTATGGTGTTTTATATAATTAATTTAGTACACCAGACCGATTAGCTCCGGTACTATTTTACAACAATAACCTGAACCGTTTTATAGCTTCGGCCGGGTCGCGGTATTAAATAGCGTTATTAGTCAAACAATGGCGTAACAAGAAACAGAAAACAAACAAATCGAGAACCTTCCATTCGGTATACACAAAGGAATATTACAAGTGGAGTATTGAAGCAGACAATGCGGTAACGGGACCAACTGCTAATTGTGAACCGAGCTAAGCTCTTCCGGTACCCGTCGAGCCATAACATTCGTCTCCAGAGACAATATTACACACACTTCTGTACTACCAACAAACAAACTACTCATCATAATTTACATATAAACATCGCTATAAAAACTCTACACTCAAATAAATTAGAACAGAATATACGTCTCTTCGTGCAAAATGCGCAAGGATTTTCCAGTAAAAGTTTTTTTAAAGCGGTATTAGCTTTCATAGCGCGGGCTAAAGTTTGTTAACCAAACTAGGCTGTGTCTGTGCAGCCGACAAACGACCGCTTTGTGTACAAAAGCACGATTCTCTTCTAGATTTTATATCATTCAGCTAACGGTGTCCCATTTGGAATAAGCTCCATCTAGATAATGGAATTATTAAATATGGCGATGCACATTCTTTTTCTGATGTCTATTACATTTAAATACGACAGTAATAAATCATAGTGAGATGATCAATCTTATTATAAATTATTTTATTATTCGTATACTAAATCAGATAAATCTGGTTTGTATAAAATTATTCATATAATACTAATGATATGTTTTTTACTTATCTCATGATTAATTAGCACCATTACATATTAGAGTGAAGTTGAGCGAAACGGTTATAAAGTATGAAATGTGTTCAAGAATGTTGGACATTGTTGTTAAGCACATTTGATCTAAGCAATGTAATTACAACAAAAGCCAATAAATAGTGATTCTTAAAGTCCGTATCGACGTGGATGTACTACCAACACGACTTAATGTGTGTAATGCAATGTATTTTCTAGTCACGATTTATTAACATAGCACGTACTGTTTTATGTCTGTCGGCGGTAATCGTTACGATGGTATTACTTATTCAACAATTATAATAAATTAATATATTTTGCATTACAGCCCTCAGATGTTACTTACGAAAGAACTATAAATAAGTCACATATAAAATTTAGGACCGTACGGGAGGAATAGCAGAAATGGTTTCGCATGTTCACGTTAAGTAACATAGGCTTGTAAAGAGTATTAAAGTGTATATTAATATTAATATAATTCAAAGGACTAAAATAATACTCGAGATGCTAAGTTGCGGGTAACATCTCCATGCGACGTGTTGGGTTTAACAAGCTCTTGACTTGCGCTACCGAGAGCATACGCGCTTGAGCAAAGTGCACTTTAGTTCCAGCAGACGGCGCAAACATTATGTGCCGGCGAGCCTCAGGTGTATCAAAAGTTTACTGTAATAAGGAATGAAAGTTTTCTCAAGAAAAATCTTGCCCTTCTTAGGCACGTTTTGTATGTCTCCGCTACGTATGTTAAGTTTCCATTTGAAATTTGCAAGTTTTTTCTCATAATATTGAACAAAAACCGTTATACTGAACAGCATTTCTAGATCTCCATATTGAGTTAAATTGATTATTTCTTTTACAATTTATTATATATTTGTTAAGAAGCTATATGTTTTTTGGAATAATTTTATTTTCACAATCAATTTTCTTGTTTAGTAGTACCCTTTATTATTTAGCGAGAGGTGTAACTATTTATTTATGGAATCATTGATCGTAAAGCGTTCCACTTGAAGTTCAAAAGGCCGAATGCAGCCCACGTCAGACGTAATAAACTTTGATCTTTATTATTATTGCTATCATATTTATATAAATAAAACGATACGTTTTCATCTCGTGTTCCTGATATCTTCATATTGGATGTAAGAAAATATCATTTTTGTATTGGATTACAGGCGATATGATTTAGGGTTATCATGTGACAGATGCAAGAGTGTGACTGCCGTTAGGTCATGCTCTGTTGGTCAAATAGTACCTAATAATATATGGAATCATTCATTTTTCAAACAACCTTATAATTTTCTGTGAGATTATTATTTTGGCATATCGTAAAGTTACTGAGTCATCAAAATAATTAGATTTGAAGGGAATTATAATAAAAAATTGGTTCGTGTTGACTGGTGTTACGCAAGGAACGAATAACAAGGAGTTTTTCCCCGACCTTGTGGAGCCACCATTAACGCGTCATTCTCTTAATAATTACCACAAAAAATATTTATAAACTACACAATTATAATATTATTTGTATATGAACGCATATCTTGATAGCGGAAGCTGGTAATCGTATTAAGAGTTTTAGAGTTTTTGCCCATTAGATAGTAGATTCCAGTTTTTTATGTCTTGTTTCTCTAAATTACTACCTTTCCGTTGTCTTCATGTCCACACAGATCTCATAGCTACTTCAATTTTGTTAAAGAAACATTCTTATATGTATGATATAGTTAGTTATTTTAGTGGTATTAAAATTGTTAATGAAACGTTTAAAAAATATTGTGCAGACATATATCCATTCACTCATACTTCTGCACAAATTTTTCTACATTAAAGGGGTGTTTTTGCATTTTATGCCATACCCAATCAATATTTCACCCCGAGGTTTCAACGGGACGTGAAGCTCTAATTTCACTCTATTGTTATTCCACTTAAACGAACTCGTATATGAGAGCATTGTTCTTAAATCAATTTACGTCTGATTGTTGTATTGACGAAATGCGTTCTCATATATGAATCAAGCTCAACGTATAATGTGCTTGCACTTGAAATGTTACTTATATTTATGTAAGCGCCAGTTTTACGGTGAGCTTGCAGAATGTATTGAGAATTGAAGATGCGGTAGTGACCGTTGAGTCATCACAACAGAGTTCATCGACCCACCCTCACGACTTGGGGCCGTTATCGTCAAATTACTTATACATTTTTTTGCATCCACTACCGAAATAGGTACAAATTCTCGTTATAATAGCATTCGTGACTTATTTATTTGTATGAAAAAGTATTTTTCATATTGCTAACGGAATCGCTATGTGCATTTCTTTAGTCATCCCAGACGATAACCCGTATGACGTCACCGTATCCAGTGTCGGAACCCGTATCTATATTGCACTCTGGCTGAATCACGAAACCTTAATACATATTTCCATATCGATTAAATATTGTTACTTCATTGAAGCTACTATTTATTAAGTGACGTAAGCGAATATACTACAATGGTCCGTAGTAAAGTTCAAACTATAAAAGCTGTGGGTGGATTATACAATCTAAGATATCTTTTGATGGATTTACAGTTATAAAGCTATTATTCCAACACTATTTATAGAATATTTCGTAAATGGTTTTATAAGTATGTTTATAATTTACCGTGTTTATTATCAAGATATAGGCGAGGCGTTGAATGGTCATAATGGATGGTTGTTTTCTATTGTTTAATATTATGAAACACGTCTAATAGAACTTTAAATATAGTAGTTTAAAAAATACCTACCTTTATGAGTTATTGGAGGAAATATTTTTATATTTACTAGAATTTTATTGAATGTGGACAGAGAAACTATAGTTATAATTGTATTATAGTTACTAGCTGAGCCGGCAAACGCTGTTTTACCATATCAATTATTATTATTTATGGTGCATTTGTAGTCTAGTTTGTAAATAGACATGGAGCATTTTTAATTCTTTTATTATTTATTCATCTCAATTATACAGGGTGACTGGTGAATTACTATCAATATTTAAGGAGAATACTCGGTACATGATTCTCATTCGAATTATGTAGAAAAAAAAGGTACTTAATTTTTGACAAAATTTCCGTATAAATAAATAAAGTGTTGACACGTTCCAAGTGTTCCAAGTGTGGACGCGTACGGCGGCGTGCTGATACAACACAACGCCGCCGCACTCGTATGTGTGAGTGTGGGTGTATACCTAATCTGTAGGGTGTTAACACGATGCGTAATTAATTACATAACTTTTGGTTAACTTTACTTAGAAGTTTATTAATATTTCTGTTATATTAATTTTTATTTTGTCATATATGATCGTCACAAATCACGTCCTCAAATATCGATAGTAATTCACCAGTCACCCTGTATATATTAATCACGTGTTACTGAATCCCTTACTCCTATATCGTGAATGTTATTTTTTGTTAGCTCATCTTTAACTGACACAAACAAACTGGACGGCTTACTTACTCGACAGCATACCACGTATAATCGTGCGAGTGAAAAACATGGTACTTTCAAATCTCTGGAAATTAGAGCTCTTATAAGTAATAAACTAATAACTAAAAAATGTCCAAAAACATTCACAAAAGAGACGACAAATTGGTTTTAATTAGCTTTTTCTCTGAAATAAATGTTAAAGTGATAATTGACCAGTAATCGATCGGAGTGAAAAATGATTTATTACTAAAATGTCTTTATAAATTTAAAAATAGGATAGAAGTGTGGAAATTTTAGGTAGTATGTATTTTCTAAGATTCTTTATAAATATTAAGACAAATATAAATTGTCTAAGAAATAAATGTAAGAGGTGGACGGCCCTTATCACTCAGCGTTATAATAATTGATAGTAGGCGATTATCATATTTACTGAATATGCAAATAAATTTTCATAATAATCGGTCAAACCGTTTCGAAAGAGTATGGTAAATAAAATAGTGACACGAGAATTTTATAAAATATATTTTCCTATTATTAAGATTACGGTAAAAGTTTGTTTAAAGCGTTAAATTTACGGATCAAATGTGATGTTTATTAGGGCAGTCTATTTTGGCGAAGTTAGGTGACGGTAATTGCGGAGTTAAGAGGGGTTTGCGTACCGTGTTTGGGACCTCCCGCAGCGGTCCTAATCTATTATAGAACAGACGACAGTTTGATGTAATTAAAATTATTTTTCATTACTTGATTCGCATATGTTAGACTATTATGAAATATATATACTTTGACTTTAACAAACAAAACGATTATACGTTGTAGTCCATGTATGACTATAACTTTAATTTATATTGCAACTTAAACCATCACGCTGATAGTATGTATTCTATTCTATGTATTATGTTGCTCGTAGGAAGTAACTCGCATTTCCATCCCAGACATTCCGATACCCCCACAATAAATACGTAATGTATCGGCCAACGATTACTAGGGGATGTTTTCAGGTATGACGTCAGCAAGTCAGTTTTGCTCTTGACATAAATTTCAGTATGGAGGGGAATTAAATATACATTACGACGGAATTTATTACGTAGTCAATAGATTTCATAGATTGCTGTAGTCTTATTGATATGAATAAGTATTGGAATGATATATACATACGTATACAATGTATATAGTCTAGTCAATAATTGGATTTTAAGTGCATCCAATGAAAAATACCCTTCGCTTTAATATAGCCCTTAAAAGGGTGCTCTGTATAACATGATTTTCTAATTGAATTTGAACTGAGAATCAACTAATGAGCAATTGAACCCCTGGGCTGTTTAAGGTACCGCGAAGGGCTCTGAGATTCTGAATAAATAAAATTCAATTAAAAATACACTAGCACGCCCTCTCAACTATAAAATGGTGTTGCAAGTAATTGTTTCTACGATAGGGGAGTCATACACTATAGTAAAAAATAATTACAGAATACGTGTAAACATGAATAAAAAAGAATTACTATTTCAATATTTTAATCTTTGTCTTGTGATAAGAATATTTCAAACCCAAAAGTTCTTAAAATTTCTAAAGTTACAAATCTATGTGAATAATTTGATGTGTTGAATTTTAAAGTAGACAATTGAAATAATATTTAGATTACGTGAAATATTTTGCTTAACTAATACAGTTTCTATAACCAATGAGACCACAAGCGGGGAGTTTCCATGGAAACAGAGGAAACTGCGTCGTTTAGATCGACCGATTCGATTGGCCAAATATGTAACAGAATTTCATCATAATATCTATATATCCGATGGCATATTAATGTTTTATGTTACTATTAAAATTACGTAAATACTTAAAGCATAGCTCAAGCTAAATTTTCAGTAGAGTCTTTTTTAATTTTAACCATATCTCAAACATTGACGTAGGCTTGATAAAAGTCATCATGTTTTTGAAGACCCAAAATCATTGACCCGTAATAATAACTCTATAGCGGGACAAAGGACTGGAGATTATGGCGCGCATTCGGGGATTTGGGGGGCGGCGTCGGTTTTGTTCCAAGTTATCTTGTTTCAGATGACGTACGTTATGGTTAGAAGGGTAGCAACGTTTAGGATTCCCGGGGAAAATTACAGTACGAAATAGCTCTGTGCCGAATTTGTGTTGCTAAAACAGAGGGTAGCTTCACAAACAATGTGGTTCTTGGCTATTTGACCCCCGTCTGAATGCGGTGTTGATCCGATTCCCCTATTGGAAATCCCTTCATGTTCGATTTCGTGGTTAACTAAGCAATTCTGACGGACAGTCATGCACACTTTATACTTTTCACTGCACTTATTGGATGTTTTTACTATGATCAGTGACTCGTTTCCCAATACGTTTCAGCATGACTGTAATACACAGTGCTGATATTAAAAGTAACAAAAAATTAAGCTATTTATATTCGTTCAATCGAGATATTAAGTATAACTTTATCAGCAGATATGCGATATTTCCAATTAGTGTATTAGTTGATATGGAACTTCCTTAAACGAATTAACTCTTAAGAACGTGTAACATAACGAGCGACCTAAATAAAATAACCCAATTGAATGTCCGATGGAATTTTATTCCACGAAGTTATATTTCGTAACATTTTTTTCGTTAATTAGCGTCTTGTGTTATGTTAAAGTTGACTCGTATACAATGTTGATATCTGGTTTCTAAGTGTTCTTTGTAACACACATAAAGGTCCAGTCCCCGTGGCGAAGGCCGAACCAACACCGCATAACGACTGCATTATCACATTAGTTGCAACGAATATTCTTACAAAATAATAAGACAAATATTAAATCAAAATTACATAACACAAAAGTTTCAATATTTTGCGTTAATGTAATTAAATATTATGAATATTTTAACGATGAAACCAAAGTCGGTAATAATTCCATTAGTTCGGTTAACCGCAATAAGCAGCGTTTATATAATAAAGGGAGCTATCGTCTTACGTAGGATATGACAGATGAAAATAAAATGAATTAATTGAAGTAAAAAGAAAGCTTCGCTTAATTAAGGATGTTTCTGTGGAGTTTAAAATAGACCAGGATGCATTGTGACTAATAGTCGTAATTGAACCAACGTCTATTGAACAAAGTGAATGTTAGTTAATATGTGAATTGTTTTAGATAATAATGAAATTTATGAAGCTATAAATCCGATACAATTCAGACTAATCAAGCGGACCATAGCAAATATAGAGAAAAAAATACGTTTCAATGGGATTCTTCCAAGATGTCGTCATCGTTCTAAATATAGATACTTTTACAACTGGATCCAGAGCGTGCACGAACTGTTGTCCTGTTAAGGTTTGATTATAACTATATATTGTATATCATTCGAAGTATTACTTTTTATATTATCATCTTTACAAGTATAAAGACATATCTTTGTCACGATCTCCTATTATGTCGTCTAGAATAGGTTCTAATGTTGATATATCAATTTGCCCGCAGATGTGATCGGCCAATTACGTCTAGAGTCAAATTTTCAAGGTGATAGTGTCGGAAAAATTTAGTATGTAATAAATAGTGTCGTATAAGTGGGCCAGTATGCCGTCACTATGACAGTATCATAAGTGCCACTATTATCGACAATCAGACGCGACCTTGCAGCTCGTTGTCACAAATAGTGGGGAGCAGATTGTCATCCTCATCCGCCTTACATGCATTTTTATTATGTAATACTGTGTCTTTTTAACCTTTGCAATTCTTTAACAGCGCAATTTATAAAATCTATTGAATCAACTTCAGTGATAATCTACCGTTACAAATACTTCTGCTACTTGCTAAGTACCGGGTGCTACTTGATCTGCGACAATCTGTGAGTTAGTAACCGTTATACGCGGAGAGAATTTAGCGTTCACAGTAATTGTTGTGCGTCTCTCGCTATATTAGTTTGATATGTCGATGCGTAGTAATCAGAGTCAAATGAGTATTTACAACCTGAAAGCTTAGACTGCGAACTACAATAGTTACGAGCGTAAAAGTGGGTTTAGGAAAATTTCCATATAATAGTTGCTTGATTTATGGAATCAGCTAACATTGTAGAGCAAATCCATTTATAGAATCCAGTAACAAAAACCATTAACCCTTTGTACTGCGGTTTATTCAAATGACTTTAGGGAACGCAATATTTGTTTTCAGTCTCGCTTCCGAAGCGGAAGCGCATTTAAACGCATGCTATTTTATCGCAAATCTGCTGACACGGACACGCATCATGGTTTTTTTGTATCATATATAATGCGAGTGTTAATGTACAATGAAGTCTCGCTACAATGAGTTCAGAAATACAAGACTTTCTATGAGCAAGTTTGATGGAGGTGACGCTTCCATTAAGGTAATGGATCGGACATTGACGTCGCTATTAAGGACACGTGGAATATGCCCTCATAACTGGAGTATGGCGGCTCTAGAACTAGTAATTAAAACTATAACCTAGTAATATAGTTACAGATAAATGCCATTAGCTGGAATATACAAAGCACTTAGTTTCATCATAGGATACACAAGACAAAGACAAAGAGATCTTTGATTTGGGCAAATAAAGTGAAGAGATGACAAGTAATCAAGTATTGATTATATGTATGGTTTGTATAATATGATCATTTTATTCTCACCGAGTCGGTCTAGAAAATACAATCACTATATTGTCGCCACAAACCGCATGCTATTGTTTTGTGACATTTGTTATAATGTGGTTAAGACCGCTGATCGTTTTGTATTATAAATTACTATGTCGGTCACATTTTATTTATAAAAAACGTAGGATGTACGTAAACGAGGTAATCGTGGTCAGTGTAAACAGTCAGAAGCATTAGCCACGTAATACACGTTAGTATTTTCAACGCTTTCTGTTGCCGATAAGGTTTATTCATAAATAGAGAATAGATGAAAAACTATTACGAAATTTAACTACTAGACCATAAAGCACTGCACTCTGATACAATTCCCACGCCACACACTCCTTCACGAGTCAGTGCGTACACGCTTCGGAACATACCAGGAGGACTTATCTAAGCACCAAGTTTATAGCCCCACGTCGGAGACACAAAAAAAATCACTTTTCTTTAAAAAGGCTTTACTTTGAAGTCAATATTTACTTTATTTACTTTACAATTCCAGTTAAACCAATAGCGAAAATTTAAAACGGAAATATGAAGTTCATAATACGGTTGAACAGAACACAGCTACCGTAGATACGTTCGTGCGATTGCGAACAATAATAAAGGGAATGATTTACCGATGGCCAGTGGCGCCGGGGAGAGCAATTTACACTGCCGCAAAAACCAACCAGCATATTGGCTCGGCGTATTGTCGAACCGCGAACACCGTTGTTATCGTAGCTGTGTACAAAACTAGCGGAACATTGTACTCTACTTATGACACAGTTCTTTTTAGTTTTATCATTCACATTTTACAGTAACTTTAATTCTAGAACTTGTCATAAAAACTTTATGATTACCATTCACTTTATACCCAGTGTAGTCTAGTGTAATACTCGCATACCTAGTGTAGATAAGTACGCACAAAATGAGCACAGACTCATTTTGTCCCGACTGCTTAAGTGAGTAATTGTATAGCGAAGTGTGTCAGAGACAAATTAAGCCCGTTTCATTAGTCGTTGAGATGAAATGGAATTCGATAAAGTGATCATTAACGCTATAATAGCTCGATGCTCGTTGATCATCATTCGTCTGATTAATTCGGGTATTATACAAAATTTTTGGTACTAATTACACTTCTAATTAAATTTTATTTGTTATGCGATCTTCCAGATATATATCAGATAGTCACGGGTGAGAATATTCAACAATTACTTTTACCGTTCCACAGTTAATGCATCAAAATAACATGGTACGTGATAGATAGGACAGGAAAGGGAATTTAATTAGTTAGATGCAGCACCCTTGCAGAATAGCATGAGGCAATAGTCACTAATGGAATAAAGGCAAGAGGTAAAAGCTTATCGCTGTTCGTTCAACGTGAAAGAAACGAAGATAAGTTATACTATGTAGGTATAACTTGCAGAGGCATTGCAAATTGATGACTTGTAAGGCTTTGCTGATTCTTTAATAAATTTACTTACCACATTAAAATACTTTTCGTTTTATTATAAAGCGAATTTTGAAATAGAATTATTTATTCAAAATAAGGGATTAAAGTAATAAATTAAAAATACCACCGCCTTGTGCACTTGATTAGCATAAATACGACATTAATCCGTATTATTGAATACTGATGTGTAAATAATAGGATTATAATAAGTTCCAAGCGGAATTAGAAGATTAATTCTTTTACAGATGAATTTTAATATAAAAATGTTTTACATTCAATAGTACGATACCTTTACGGCTCTTAAAGAGTAATTAGTTGGAGCAGTTTTGTTATCCTGCACTTTACGAACGGCTGTAGCACCCTTTGTGTAATGAACGTCGACAGTTGAGTTTTTTTAGGCGCGTGAGGGGAAAATTGAGGAAAATTATAATAAAAACTCAATTGAATAAAAAAAACACAATGCAATAGTCTAGACGGTGTTTAATTTGAATTCCATAAATCGTTGTTTAGATGAACTGGAAAATGTTATTTTATTATGTTAAAATACATGAATAAATAGAGATATAACTGTTGCCAAAGCTACTACATGTTGTATAATAAATGATCTTCCATATAACAATGCCTCTGCAGTCAGTGTATTAAAGTGTCAAGGCGTAACATAAATCACGGGTAGAGAAATTCTTTCAACATCACTGCTGGAATACACACGACATCTTTCAAAGACTCCAATCACCGTTAAACTTAGGATTTCAAAGGTCAAACCATCAGACAAATTAAAAATATAATTGCTTGATATTTATAACTCGTTATTAAATCGGTTGCATATTTTATATTTATTACTACACTAAAAACAGCCTTCATGTAATTCATTAAGGATGACATTGAAAAGTAAAGCCGCAAGTAATAAAATTATATATTCATAGACCTACCTCGCACTGACGTAACTACAAATATACCATGTAAAATATTAGCAGTAACCTGTTAAAATAAATAAGTCGCTTCTCGTACAAATCTATTGTAATATTCAAACCAAAAAAACTTAAAATATTGAGATAAAAAAAATTAATACTAAAGTTTAATGAGTCATTTATAAAATTTGGTTAAAAACTATATGTAAGTAATACATAGAGTATATAACCGTCTTGGTACATCAAGCAATTGTTGTAACGAGTGAGGACGTCTCAAACAAGAGATTTCCTTGTTTTATTGGAAGCGGCGTTTCCCCTCGTCCCATCGACTGTTACATCGTACCTACATTGTTTTGAAATAGACTCCCACACATTTTTTCACTATTTTTAATCGACTTCAAAAAATATATATTATACCATTCACTAATTTAATTTAACACGATTTGATAACCTGTTTTTTCATTCAATAAATTTCATTGCCAAATTATAGGCGTAGCGATTTAATAATTTATGAAGAGATTAGACAAAAATAAATTCTATTAGTGTTGTAGAGTGGGTTATATATTAAAATTGTGAGTAAATTTTTATTATATTTTAAGGCAACCGGGTTTATATACATCTTTCTAATATAAAAACTATCTTTGAATCTTAATAAATATTATAACTTAACTAATATCCTCAAATAACGGATAATATCCACTCGCTGCAACATTATATTCAATAACAAGATAACCTTTAACTTTGACGTAATTTTTTTTCATGTTCGCGACCCAAAAACAAAAATTTATAAATGTACATTTCGTTTCCGTATCTTCAATATATTTAGAAGATTTAAAACAAATTTATTAATATACTACGGTAATATAAAAAAAAAAATCAGCAATTTTGACGTAATAAAAGCTATTTCACATCTTGTTAAGTTATAAAAATTGTTACAAATCAATAGTTTTATAACTTGAAAACGATATAAGTGCCATAAAAATATAATCCTATTAGTCATTGCTACAATAACCATTGTAATGGCCCGCTTCTTTACGACACTGTTATCGGTAAACGAAAACCTAATACGTCACTGTGCTAAGTACAAGTTAACATTGTTGTATTCCATACGAATGTTTGCTAGTTTCTTATTATATAAAATGACTAGCTTTCCGCCCGCAGCTTCACCCGCGTGGAGTTCGGTTATATCGCGTTTCCAAGAGAACCTTTCAATAACTATCCTATGTTCTTTCTAAAGGTCAACTCCATCTCTGTACCAAATTTGATTAAAATCAGTTCTGTGGTTTAGGCGTGAAAGCGTAACAGACAGACATACAGAGTTACTTTCGCATTTATAATATTAGTAGGGATTTATGAATGAAAACTCTTAACGTTACGTATGTAGTATGAGTGAAACTAAGGGTAATCACATCTCAATCGAACAAAGAATAGGATTTATGTCAAATAAATTGGACCATGACAAACCAGAGTTAGACAAATTTGATTTAATTTAATATGATCGTGTTAAGTGTGATTTATAACGATTAATAACTACTGATTTACAATAATAGAGTTTATTAAGATAAGGGTTATGTAGGAGATAGTGAAAATATTGAATATGAGAAATAATTTACGCTTATTTGAACGTACTTAATAAAATAAGAACATGTAATGTTCAAAAATGAATAATACGCGTAAATAGTATTAACATTTAAGTAGGATTAAATCAAATCATTGGAATTTTAATACGTCAATCACGATTACTATAATCTTTGCAACTATTAGTTAGAAATATTTAATTAATTATTAAATCAATAGAGTGAATTAAAGTGTAATAAAAACTATTGGTCCTATTTTTTAAACGAATAAAACTGTTCCATATTTCTTTTCTTATCTGATAAAATGCAAGAAACAAAGGCACAGTAAATACAAAACGAACATTCTAGAAGTATATAGTCCGGACAATTCTATTAACTTTAACAATATATCACCAAAGCAAATCTCCCTCTTGATTTACTCGATTCAGCCGTTGGGGGAGATAGGACAAAAAAAACAGTGAAAAGTTGTTTAAACATTCCAACTATAATTATTCTGCGTATGTTTTGTAAACAAAACACTTATAACCTAACAATGAATAAGATCTTATACTAAAATTTAACCCTATTATATGTAGCTGCATTAAATAGTATTTGAGTCATGCAAGCGGCGCCTCAGTGACGACTATGACAGTACAATTCAAAAGATAATGTTGTGTATAAATAACTTTAAGTGCATAGAATATAATATATCAGTTTATGAGAGTATGCATATTTTTTTCTCTAATGAGATGAATTGGTCAAAACTGATATTGGAACGAATTCAATATATGGGCTGTATATAAAAAAAATCTGCACAAAAAAATTAAGGTTATTTATAAAATAAATTGATCATTTTAATTTGATCATATTAGTTGTCACTTTGATAGGAATTGGGTCGATATTATAATTTTATTAGTCTCTAAAACAATGACTTTAGAAGTTCCATCAGGAGTAAACGAATTTGTTGATGTAGTTTCAACACAACTATAAAGTACGCTCTGACAAAATAAGTTTGCTTATTATATTACTTTTATAGTCGATCCTGAAGTTATATAACAACATAAGGCCCCTTTTTTTATGTTCATCCAAAAATTTATGGTGAGCTCTGTAAGACGAGAGGCTATGCGTTCACTTTTGTTCTTCCTTTATCAATTAATATAACTATCACTAAAGAAAATTAAATATTAAAATATATATACAAATAAATATCCATAAATAATAGAGGTATTTTAAATAAAATTTTGTGTTTGGCCCCGCGCCAAATGTAGCCCGCTTTATATTGATCACTGCAGTGCTTGACATTTTGTTCTAGAAGGTTATACCTATTAGATATTGATATAAACAAGAGAATATAAGAACAATGGCAGCAATTAAAAGCAGAATAACTTATCTTAAAATATATGTTGAAAAATAATACAAAATATTTTTTTTGTTCATAGATGGTGCCATCGAATAAAATGAAAAGCTGTACAAGTGGTTGGTGGGCTTTGTTACTGACGGCTACGTTGGCTGTGGGGACGCTGGCGGATGCTGGTGTTGGTCTCTATAACGCGAGGCTTCAGCAGGTCGTTACATCTAGCACTCTGAAATGGACGAACATGAGGAAGGAAGCTATGGATAATTATGTAACTGGAGCTGATTCACAGCAAGGTAATTCTGAGACAACTAAAGAAGCTTAGAATATGGGACCGTAAGTTATTAATTATATTTATATTTTTCTAGGTCCTATTTATCTATGCAAAGCAAGACACGAAGGCGACATGCTTCTTGGACAACTCAGACCTGACTACACATCTTGCGCTGTATCAGGAACTAAGAGTTATAATGTCTTTGAAGTACTAGAAAATATTGAAAACGCTTCACTCATTATATGGGAACCATGGAATAAATTTAACTCTAAACCCACTGGAGCCGTTGTGGTCGATTCGTCAGTTGACTCCGTGTTTATAGGTCGAATGATAAACGGCAACGATTTTTCTCACAACATAGGTAGAATTATTTATGAAAGTACAGTTGGTCATTTGATAACATTCAATGAACAAAACAACGAGTTAGACGAAAACAGCGGAGAAATTCTAATGGAAATTGAACCGATGAGCTACAGACTGGAAAATGTTGAACTCGATTTAGTAACACAACACGAGAGACAGGCAGATCCACAGATATACACGGAACGTGTTTTGAGGAATGATGATGACGTCGCTGCGACGGTCACCACGGAGATCGAATACAAATATAATTACACCTTATCCTGGGGTCACGGACATGGAATAGCCATCGGTTTGAATACCACCATAGAAATGAGCGACGGGACCGTGTTCCCGCAAATCGAATGGGCAAATCCATTCACAGAAGAACGAAAGGAACTTTTCAAATTGGAGAAATATCTCGAACCGGGGACGGCTTGCAATGTAACCTTCCGTGGCAATTACACCAATCGTGATGTACAGTACACCGCTAAACTGGTGACGTACTATAAAGGTAACAACGCACGTTCAAGGGAAATGAGGGGGGAGCGGATTGAAAATACCGTCGAGGTCGAGGCTGTGTTCGGTGAAATATATTACACGGTTAACAACACGCTGGTCCCTACAACGACGACCACCACGACTACTACGACTACCACCAGCACCACTACTACCCAGACTCCACCACCACCACCGCCGTTGGATGAGAAGAACGACGTGGGCATGATCATGGACAGTAACGACATATTAGGAGATAGCAGCGAAGATATGGTTAAAGCACCGCCCGTCAAAGAAGACATCAACCGCTCAGTCGTCGGAGGTCTAGGCAGCAAGCCTAACGAAGCCAGTCTTAGAACCGCATCGCTTTTAGTATTTTTGCCGATATTTGCCCTTCTATAGATTATGTAACCATATTTAGCTTCCCTGTAAATAGAAAATATATCACTGATATTATAGTTGCTTGACGTTACTACATGTGTTGCAACTAGGCTTATTGCAGTTGTTGATTCCGAGAACAGAAAACCTGTATCGGTTTGTTTTGTAAATAAAGAAACGTTTTTGTTTCCGACACATTCCTGTTAAATAATTCCATTCCAATTGTATAAAAAAAAAATGATAAAATTTTGGACGAATAAATACCAGATGTATATAGGTTTTGTATATAGTTAAGATTATATGGAGGTCGCAGAGCGACTGGTAAATCAATTTGATTGCAAACATCAATTTGGTAGCTGATCAACTGGATTGAGGTTAGCGTATGGCACTGTTACCAATAACCCACAACATTCAATTGCTTTTACATACATTTTTCTGTTGCGGTTTTACTAATATTATCTAACCTACAATGACTTCATTTCAATACCAAAAACTTTCCCCACACACTTTACGGTACACGTAATTATTTTATAAAAATATCTAACAACAAATCTCATACTTTAATAGTATTAAAATGGCATGAATCCATTTTTTCCTTCTTATTATTTATTAGGAATTCTGCAAATTGAATTTCAATTTTTTTTAAACATTATATCTACAGTACCTCTATAGTGTTTGTGTATTTTTATTTTGTTATTTTTAGTTTTTAATACGACGAGAGTTTTAAAATCCAGAATGGATGATATTATTATTGTAAAAGCTTCTAGCCGTAGTTGATATTTATTTGTTTTAGGTTTAAATCACGAGACATCAAGTAACACTTAAGCTTCGATCACGTATTATAAGAAGATTTAAATATTATAACTTTGTTATTACCAAAGTTGCATTTTCTTTAAAGTCTACTTACTATAATTAGAGTAATCGTTACTTTTTCTCTCCATGTTATGTATGCACGGACACCAATATTTAGATGTGAAATGTGTAATTGTTATAATATTCGCTTAGCTTCGTTTAACATAGATTGAACAGATGAATGATATTTTTGTATGGGCGGAGGCCGCTAGGTTAATTCATACATCGTCCCAGATCATAGTTCATGAAACCAGTGCATCCATAAACATTGTCTGTAAAGATCTGTATCCCACCTAGTATAACGTAATCGTAAGCATTAGATTTATTGAAGAATATCAAATGTATTATTGCAGTCGGATGCCGTGTATTCGCATTATTGCTTGCAAACTATAAAGCTATACTAGTATGATGTTTATCCAAAAAAAATATTATAAAACATTTCAAAATTCTATAAATTTTCACCTACTTTGAATGTACCGGCATTGGCTAACTTCTGTGTCTTATACCCAGCGCATTGTAGCGATTTTTTATCGTTGTATAAACTAAACAGGTATTTGTACTATTGTACGGTATTTAACATTAGCAATAATAACTTAAAAAGTGAATGTAACCATGGAATCTCATACTATGAAATGTATGAAAATAGTTACGTAAAAAGTACTAAGTATAAAACCTGATTAGTCTATGCAGCGATAAATGCTTTAACTGTATGATGCAGTGGCTCTATTGATTTATTGTAACAGGAATCTCAACAGGATTAATGTTTGCGAAGCATAATTGTGATGTTCTATGTAAGTATTGTTTTCAACCATTAAAGTGTAAAAACATAACAATTGTATTATTTTAATTCCCGCGACATATTTTTAGTATTTATTGGACATCGCAAAGTTCGTTATGAAACACCCAATTATTTTCTCTAAGCTTGTAAATTAGAAGAAACTGAATTTTAAGTATTTTTTTTTAAACTAAATGCCCGGACAAACTTCGTTCTGTCAAAAGTTAATACTAAAAATTAAATAAATGTAATTTTTTTGATAGATCAACTTATTTTTATCTCAACAATAAACAAAAATAAGTTTTACATTTTGTACCAGACAATACTTTAGAAACTTGATGATACTCATTCTAATTATAGAATACAATATTTTTTTGCTTGGTTATTTGGCGCGTAAACAAATAATGTTTTTCTAACAAAGCAGCAGGCAGCATACAACTGTGATAGAAAGCAAGGATTTTCCAGATTAATAGCGCAATACTTGAAGATTGAATCTAGGATTTACTTATGATCATTATGAATTCAAACCACAGTGGAAATTACAGTCGATTTCTTTCCATTAACTACAATATATAAGGTCTTTTATTGGTTAAAATTTTATTCAAACAGTCTAATCAATGAACTTGAATAGAAATTTCATATTTTTTTTATACATTGACGTTGACAAATTAGGTCAACTCTTTGACAGAAAATACTTAAATAAAATTAAAATATTTTGTTTACATAAAAGTCCTTAAGGAACATACAAAAATTTTGCTCATTTAATCGAACTACTTTCAAGTACCTAATGCGCTTAGCAATATCCATTTATATATAGATTTACATTTACGGTGATTGTTAGAAAAAAGTCTACTGTAATATTTTACAAGGCGTACATAGACAGACATAAAAATGAATTGCAGCTATTTTATGATGAAATATTTGTGAGCGTACACCCTCACCGTCCACCCTCTGTCGGTTACACTTCGAACGAGGGAGAGTAAACACTCACTACATCTGAACTAAAATGAATAAAACTAATGAATATTATACTAAATGTATTGATGGAAACTCTAACTATTGGTGCTATAGATGTACATACACTTTTATCTGAATAGATCTTACTAATCAACTGGCTTTCAAAATATAAAGCTAAATTATAATGTCAAAAATACATTACCAAAATTCATTAATATACTTTTATTCGTACGTAAAATACGATTTCGCTGGTAAAACCGCGCTGAACAACTAGTGCTATATATTTTTTAATTTAATTAAAAGGTCCATGCTAACTTAATTAGAAAATTTGGAGGTAAAAAAATATTACAATCTTAATAATATTACTAAAGAGATAATTAATCGAAACGTTGGTGAAATTAAGTTTAACATAGCCATAATGTTTAACAGATTTTTTTACTAAAAGCTGTAGAGTAAATTTAAAAAGATTCATATTAGAAGCTCACTAGAATATGAGGATTTATATTAATTAAAGTTAATTAAATCAGCTGGTACTGATAGTATGTTCGACGTTTGTATTTTCTACTTCAAATATGCTACTTTATTACAAAGTTCACGTTTTTGACATTCTGAGACGCAAAACGGGGCGAGTCTCAAACGTGCTATAGACCGCAACGAATAAAATAACTCATTTAACTGCAATAAGAGGGTTCGGAAAGGTCAAATCTTATACCTACTGCTTTGATATTCAAGTTGCTTGAAGAACGTAACGTATTTATTGCTAGTATATCTCTCTGAGTTGTGTTAAGACCGAACAGCATCAAAAGAGCCTTCTATTGACAGTGGTACAGAAATAATGAATGTAGGAATCGTGGCTTAATTAGGTATTCGTGATAGAACGCGAAGGAACGACGAACCCGGACTTGTTGTGTTTAAGGTACTAAAATCCAATATCATGTCAAATAAAAAATTAGGCAAAATCAGTGAAAATTTCACATTACACCATGAATATCAGGTACTAAATACAAAAGATTTATAACTATACTCTCTGTATCATAGTTTTCTACAAATACTTTATCTAAAATCAATTTAATTTTGAATATTTTCATATTATATTGTTTAATTTCATACACATTAATACAAACAATACGCAAGACATTCAAAACGAACGTATGAAAAAGTTTTTTTTGAAAGCAGTTCGTCTTTGAATTCTTACGTCACTTGGCAAGGATTAAAAGAAAAATTCGAGCTGTGAATCCGTGCGAGGAAACTGAACGCTGTGTAAATAGCGGGCAATCCTTTTCACCCGCGGCGCATTCAGTTCCCTTTGTGGAGACATTTGAGCTAGGGCTACCTGAAAGCTAGGGCTGGAGGCTCTTTAATTATTACCAACCTGCCGGGGGAAACGATCGCAGAGAAAGGACCTGACGCCTTTCTCTTTCCCTCACTTATGTACAGACGTTGCAGTCAAAGAAATACGCGAATATGAATATGACATATAAAGAAATTATCTCATCAGGCACCAACATCGTTCTAATAGGTGTAATTATTACTTAAATACCAGTACAATAAACTTTGAGTCCGTAGATGTTTAATATGAAGGAAAATTAAAATGTTTAAATAATATGAAATTTAAATTAAAATATTGAAATACATAGTTTAAATTTCTATAATAAAAAAAAATTAAAAAAGATTGGGCTCGTCCGGGATTTGAACCCGGGACCTCTCGCACCCTAAGCGAAAATCATACCCCTAGACCAACGAGCCGCTTGGTTTATTCGTCGAATTAGTGAATTCGATTTTATAACTATAAACATTTATATATTGACTTGTAAAATTTTATTGATAAAACATATCTAATTTAAATATATAGAAGCCATGTGTTTCCAACTTTTTTTACGATCATTCATTTTTACCAAGGTCAATTCAATAATCTGCTTATCAACAGCATAAATTTACAAATTCTTGCTCTAATATAAAAAAAAAATAACGATTCTGCCTCTACCACAATACTGTCTTATTTCAATTAAAATAAATATATATTATTTTCTTTTTAGATTAATTTTTTAGTTATTAATATATTACGAACAAACAATAATGCATAGTTATTTGAGTCATGCATATCTTATACAATAAGTGGGACAAAAACGTGCTAAGAACTTTAAATGCACATTTTCCATACAAGGTCCACGTCTGAATGATTTATTCTTAAAGACTTTTAAGGATAAAATTTTCTCTTTCTACTTTACTTTTCGTTATTTAAAATTATAATTATAGAAATGCAATAGACAATATGAGTTCGAAATTTTCTATATCAATGAAACTAATCTCTATTGTCACGGTAACGTGGCTAGCATTATAAGTAGACTACCTTTTAAGACAGGTCTTAAGGGATCTAATGATTGATTTCGCCTATTTTAATATTCAACAAAGACCGTAACGTTCACTGCGTATTTAAAAGTAGGTCAGGTTGAAGATATAGATTATATCACAGAGGATACACCTGTAAAATCTTGAGAATGAAGATTATTTATTTTGTGAATAGTAGACCTAGTAGCATACGACATTGGAGTATAAAACCGGTTCGGCTATGATGAGTAAGGTACTTCTTCAAATGTGACGTCATGAGATATAAATGACCAAGCTGAGAATTCCATATATAAATTAATAATTACTACTTTAGCAGGCTTTAATTCGAGATGGTATTAAGAACAATAGGCTTGCTACACAATTAAGTATTTGTTACATTTTGTACGAATAAGTACATAATTATATTTAAAAAAAAGTGGCAATTCACAACAGATCTTAAAGCATAATAGGTATATTGTGGGAAAAATAAAATAAAATGAGTAAAAAAATTGGGCTCGTCCGGGATTTGAACCCGGGACCTCTCGCACCCAAAGCGAGAATCATACCCCTAGACCAACGAGCCATGTTGATTAAGGCTGAATAATTTGATCTAGTCCATTTTTAAGTCCATAAATGATAAAAATTGTAATAAAACATGTGAAAGCTTTTTAAATATAAAACATCATAGATATGAAAAATATTTATTCACCCTTATTTATTGAAAAATGTAATAATGAGAAAGAATTAATATCAATCTGAAAGCAAACTTAGTTATATTTTGTTATATCACCCGTTATTATTTATTAAGTTTTGCATTTTTTGTTATTCACTTATAAAGAACATTTCTTACGTAATAGTTATCTCATTTTTATTTCTATTTTTCGGTCCTGATAATTTCAATCTATCCAATTATAGGAATAGCTTCTAAATACTCAACCGATTTAAAATACACATATTCACCAGGTGCATGACCGCCTTGGAATAACTATGGTAATGTCACGAATAAATAATGATTAAAAGCAATTAGAGATTTATAAGGATTTAACAATTCAGATTACGTACGTAATTTGGTTTTTCTTATTTTTCTATAGATTTTACTTTCATTTGTAATAACCCTAATAAGTCTTAATATTTTATAATATAAATCACGATTTATAGTTTTTTTTTATGAATATTTAATTTTTGATAAAATTACTATGAATGCACATTTCAGATCGCCAAGTATTGTTACTAAATCGATAAGGTAAAAATGTTTCTTACTTGTTTTGCATAATATGTTACGTTAAGGTATATGCAATTTACGATAGAAAGAACAATTTACATTTCTGTATTTACATAAAATAATATTTTCCTTTCCGTAACATCGAAACTATCATTTCGGAAGTAATTTTATATTTCATATTTTTATGCAAAGTGACATCTTTGAAAATGCGAGTAAAATTCAATAATAGGTTGATAGTGACTTCAGTACTTTTCTATGTAATAACGCTATTGTATAATAGATGGCGCTGTAAAATTTTTATAACATACAAACCTGAATAAAATTTGAAAGTGATAACACAACCAAGTAAAGGGTTCGGCTTTTGGTCACAAGATGGCAGTAAATATAAAAAACATTTTGTTGACTTACCCATTACACCAAGTTGCTGTGGAGAGAGAGGCGCAGCATCACCACCACCGGAGCCAATAGAACCAGATGCCATTGAGAGCCTCTCACTAAATCCAAGAGGGCTGCTCCTACCACCACTGCTTGCAACTGATCCCATTCCTATTACAACAATAGAAATATCACAATCATTATATAATTCAAATAAATATAATAATTCAACAATTATGATAATTGTAAATTGAATATATACCTCCATTAGGACTCCTCATTCTAGACAACCTTTTGTTGATTGCTCTTTGAATTCTAGGATTAAATATAGGCTTTGCCCGACGTCTAGCCAAATACCGTGACAGAACTCCAACAACTACCGCACTTGTGCCCACTACTCCTAAGCTCCAAAGTACAACCTAGAATATGAATAAAATTAATCATTACTTAAGAATTCAACTGACTGTGTTTTATTTTAAATACTATAACAAAATCATTCAATTAACTAAAAGAATAGTGGTTCAAGGATTATATCAATCTACTTGCTTATTTAATTACTAAGAAGCAATTTAGTTGTTAATATTATTTTCTCAATATTTTTATAATGAGTTAAAATAATAGCATATTATTAGAAGGAATGACTCGATGAAATACAAAATGTTTTAAATGTTTTGGTCAATTACATTTAAAAACTTTGAAAACAGAATATTTAATAACCTTTTGTGAAGTTGTCAGCTGTATCTTATATGACAACACTTGCTGGATATGTTTCAATCTATCCAGTATGGGGCTAGCTTGTAACAAATGCTGCATTTTGATTTATATTTACACACTACACCAGTCAACAAATTGTCCTCACACTATTTTATTTACATGAAAATTAAAATTAAGGTTATCTGTCAAAACAATATACAATTAAAACCAGGCAAACGTGTAGTTTCTTACTAAACCAATAAATAACACTTAAGTTTTTTTATGTACACAGTTCCTCATTTACGCTTTCATACAATATTATTTTTATAAATATTAAATATTAGCAAAATTAAAAATTCCCGGTCACTGAAAGAGAAAGTACAGAAAGAGATGGATTTATTTGTTTAGACATTCTAAGTGTCTGTTCGGAATCTAAAAACTTTACAACTATATAAGTTTATGATGAAGTTAAAAATATTAAATTGTTTAGAATAAATATCTCTTGTTATAATAATAATATAATATAATAATAACTAAAAACATGGATCCCTTATAAAGTGATCTATTTGTATAAAAGTTAAATCATATGCATTTTTTTAATTATATAGATATACCTATTATAGATTATATTTTTAATTTGTTATTAAACACAAATATTCGATAGAACATTATTTTTATTACAAAGATAGAAAAGGAAATAATATTAATATTTATGTTCATCGACTCGTATGTTGTATACAAGTATAATTGGAATTATGACCTATAAAAAATACATTTAAAGGTGAAGTTATTTTTTAAATATAGTATTATTCTATTCCATGCAAGTTTATTGTTATGGTATACAGGTAAAGATTAAATATTATTTTAATTTTTTTTTTATTTTGTAACTAATAAAAATTTGATCTATACATTTAAAGTATTTTAAGAAGGTAAATTACAAAAATTTACATAAAAAAATTAAATTAAATCAGTCAATAGAGATATAAATAATGGTGGGTTAAAAAAAACATGTTAAAGTCAGTACATCATTAGTATTATTAGGCCTTTGATAAATCCCCAGTACTTATTATATATTAACAACTTATTTCCTTAAAGTTTTTGATAAATTTTCTTCTCTTTAACGTTTCGTTATGTTTAATATGCATTCATTTATATTATTGAACTATTAACTAAAATAGCTTATAGCATGTTCTAATACTTAATTTAAATATGATCATTTTACCTTACAAAGATATATTTATGAAAAAGATCGAACTCTTTTAAAGTCACATACCCATAAAATTTCGGCGATCTTATCTATTAATATCTGGTTTACGGACTAGTAAGAACCATGGATCTGTGCAATAATCATGACATAGTTTTCCATCTAGTTTCTTATTTCTGATTGAAATGTTTAATGTCATTATTCAATTGTCATTTAAGCTTTTTGAAGTTTAAGTTTATGCTTATCAAAGTAAAATTTATAAAATTTTATGTTTGCCCGTTGCGTGCTGGAAAAACAGTTACAGACAATAATTTATTAAAATATAAATATATTTTTTACTCTAATTATAACATTCGATGGATGTGACAAAATATTTTTAAATATCGTAAATTACTATTAAATAACATAATGGACAGGCTTGCACTTTGTTATAAACAACTATAAATTGATAGATATGGATAGCATACACCAGACATTACACCAAACATTGCAAACATCAATTGAAGATCTTCCTGATGAAGTATTGGAATTTATTCTCGGATTTCTACCACCTTATAAAGATTTACAAAATTGTATGAGCGTTTGTAAAAGATGGTGTAACTGCGCAGAGAGTAAGTTTTCATTATATATAAGCAAAATGGACTCAAAATTTTATTCTCATTCCTTTCATCAATTTACTAAAATTCTAAGAGTTTCATTATTCTTTCCAGATGTACTGCATAAAACATCCATTAAATTGGTAAAAGCTATTGGAGAATTCAATATTTTGTGGAAAAACATTGTTTCAAATGATATAGTACCAAGTATTACAAAGAGATTCTCTCATGCAGCATGTATCCTGGAGAACAATATGTATATATTTGGTGGATGCACAACAAATGCTACATCATTCAATGATTTATGGAAATTTGACTTGTCTAAAAGGCAGTGGTTCAGGCCCCTCGCTACTGGTACATATCCAGTACCTAAAGCCTATACAACTATGGTTGATTATAAAGATTGCCTAATAGTATTTGGAGGATGGACTTATCCCTCTCTTTCGCAATATTACCAGAATGTTACAATGTTTAACGACATCCATTTTTATTGTGTGAATACTAATAAATGGATTTTAATTAATACAAACAACCCACCTCCTCCAGTTGCTGGGCATTCTGCATGTATCCATGGTGATGAAATGGTAGTTTTTGGTGGCCTGGTTATGTCAGCAACACAGAATTTTCAGATACAGTGTTCAAATGATGTATGGGTTTTAGATTTATCAACTTTCAGTTGGAGAAAACAACCTACTACAAGGCCTAGACCATCTCCACGATATGCCCAGTCACTTATTCAGTTAGATTCTGATCAATTATTATTATTAGGTGGTGTGCAAACTTTGCAGAATAGATTTGTATATAGTGATTGTTGGGTACTTACTATGAAAGGACCAATTTGGACTTGGAAGGAAATAGCAGTTAGAAATAAAGAGTGGGCATCAGCTAATATATGGTGTAATCCTGCTTGTAAAGTAGGAGACAAAGTTGTCAGTTTGAGTAGGAGCAGAAATGGCTGGACTAGTGCAAAACCATTAGTTACATCAGCTGTTCGATTATCTAACTTTGGTAGAGCAGAAGGAGCTCCAGTTTCAGTGAGAGTGGAGCAAAGTTTGCAGAGACCATTAGATAGAGACCAAAATATAAATGGAAGGCGTGGAATATTACCGAGACAAAGAGTTCCCTTAAATGAACCAATTGCTGGACCTAGTAATGAAAATGATCAAGCGAGGATACCTAGAGCCGTCAATGAAAATTTAAATCATGATTACAATATGGCAGCATGTAGTGGGGAAGCTAGACAAATAAATAATGGTCTTGACATATCTAAAAAAGAAACAGCTTACAGAAGAAATAAAAATAAGGTTTGTGAAATGATCTTACTTAATTATAAAATCATAGATACATTTAAAAATTCCTACTACTTTTACATATTATATATCTAAAACGAAATTTTCATTTGCAGAATAAAGGTATGAAGATTGTTAGACAACTTCAAGAAGCTAATAAATATAGGATGGCCGCATTTGCCTGTGATTCTATAGGTAATGCTCCACCACAAAATGATCTCATTAACCAAAGGCAAATTGCTCATTTAGAAAATAGATTAGATCCCCCAGCAGACAATCAAGAACAGAGACAATCTAATGTCAAGAAGATTAAAAGGAATACACTGTCAATGCATGTCTTAGATATATCAACGATTGTGGATGGAAACTCAATGAACTATGTGTCATGGTTGTGCCCCCGTCTTGGTGAAATGCGGGGTGCTCCGGAAGAATTGGTCATGTACTCTCTAGTAAAAGGAAATGGCGAACTTATAATGTTTGGAGGTGTACACAACGATATTAGTATTTTGAATTATAGTGAGCAACAAAATATGTATTCTAATTCATTACATTTCATCACACCACCCAGGGACATTATTTAAAAGAACTGTAAAGTAGTAATGTACTAATATGAAGTGCATAATTTTCGTTGTGATTATATGTAAGCCTGTATTTTAACTTCTCAAATGCAATTGATATAAGAATGTTGAATGTTTCTTCAAACTGCTAATCATTTCTTGATACTCATAATATATTTAATATAAATAATATTATTGTGTAGTTAATTTCTGTAACACTGAGGTAATTATTTTCATTTACCTGCAATCATAATAATACATTATAGAATTATTAAAGGCATATTCATTATAATTTTTGGGTGGATGATGAGTTTTGCCTCTGAGTCTTAGAATTTAATACTAAAGGAAATGTTGATACAACTTGGATGGTTTATAATTAAAATGTTGTGTTCAAAACATTAAAACTGCCACTTAAGGATTTAAAAAATTTATATAAGATTTTCAGAATTGTTGCTTTTTATGCTAAAATTAAATAGATCATTGTAACCATTAATCCATGTATGAACTGTATTTGTTGTTTGTTATAGTTTCTTCTGTGATCTGTAAATAACTTTGACTTGTAAAAATAACTGTTGCTTAGCTTGATAAATTAAAATTTCGTTCTTAATTCACAATTTTTTTTATTGATTTTCTGGAACTAAACCTCCAAAAACTGCTGCGGGAATTTCCTTTTTCTGTACAGGTGCAACTTCCTCGTCTTCATTACTATTATCAGATTCTTCATCATCAATATCAATTTCATCAGGATTAACAACTTTGTCGTTTTCTTTGAGACCTTGTGTTTCACCTCTGACAAACATTATATTGCCCTTGCTTTGGACAGCCATTTCGGCAGCTTTAGCTTCCAACAATCTCATGCCGTCCTTCATTCCTGGTGCTAGATCCGATATTGTACCCGCAGCCTGAGCAGCTGAACCTAGCATTTGGGCTGACATCATATTGACTTGCGTGTTATATGTAGCTTGTACACTTCTCTTAATTCTAAGCATTTCCCTCATAGTATCTTCATTGCCATGCCTAACTTCAAATTCTTTCCATGTATTCCAAAATTCTGTCGTAATCCTTGGATCGCACATCTGACTACAGTGAGCGTATATAGCACGAGCTCTGTCGATTTCACCAAGTTTTGTTTCCATTTCGGAAAATCGTAAGCACATCTCTCTAGCTTTTTCATCTGGTAAAGTCTCGATAGCTTTTTCATATATTTGTCGCGTTTTGGGTACGCCGTATATTTCTGCAGCCTTTTTAATGTAGATATTAAACATTTCAAACATTTGTTCTGGTAGAACTGCTGTTGTTGCTCTTTCATACACTGACATAGCATGTCTGGCCAAACCATGCTCTTCTTCCAACTTAGCATATAATAAAAATATTGATTTAGCAAACTCAGGTGGGCAGTTCTCCAGACATTGTTCAAAGAGATCTCTAGCTCTTTCAAGCTTGGTTCCACCATATCTTTTTAAAAACTTTGTTAAATATGTATTCCAAATATCATAAACATTTGGCCACTTGAAGAGAGCTATCCCTTTTTCATATGCCCTGAATGCTTCTTCAAAATAGTTGTGTTCTTCCAAGAATAGACCATAGTTTATAATAATTTGAGGTGTAGCTATTTTTAAATCAATGATATGGTCATAGACAGCTTTACAAGATTTATATGTGCCAAAACTTTCTTCTAAATCGGCATACATTGACCAAACCTTAAGAGATTTATATAAACGCATTTGAACTGTTTCATTGTCATCATGATAAGCTACTTTCCTACTGGGAAGAACTGTAGCTCTTTGCATTAATTTTAAAGCTTCTTCATAGTTTTCATGTTTTATTTCCATTTCTGCCCACTCACACCACACAGATGCTAAATCATCAACTTTAGCATAATTAACTTGGGTCGCTTTCTCAAAAATTAATCTTGCATCATCAATTTGGTCATTGCTCTCATAAAACTTCGCAAAACCAACCCACAGTGTATAAAGTTTTCCTACCGCTAATTTCGGGTCCACCGTCTGCACAGCTTCTGTATAAGTATCTATGATTTCATGAGGTTTACCTTCATACAGCTTTACTCTTTTGTGCCATTCAGCAATATTATGTGGGTTTTGTCTCAATAATACTGAATTTAGAAGTAATAATCTTCTTTCCATCAAATATTCAAATCTAGCGAGACGTAACTCTAAGTCAATATCTTCATCCTCAGTGGGGTTGGGCTTTTTTGCAACTTCTTCCATCTTTTTACTCAAACTCAATTCCTCAAATTGAGCATAGGCATCAAAGACTTGTGTGAAATCTCTGACTGTAGTGACAGTCTGAATGGCTTCCTCGTATATATCTCTAGCTCTTTCAAATAAACCACTTCTTACATAGTAATCAGCTAGTGAATTCCACAGATGACCCAACTGGTCAGTGTAGCGACGAAGTCCACCTCTTATTATGGCATCAACATTGAGTGAATGAATTTTGTCTGGGTTTTTGGATATTAGTTCACACAGTTCATTCCAAAGCTGATGATTGGATTTTCCATGCTTGGATTGAAAATTCTCATTATTTACAAGTTGAGCTAATTTTAAAGCAGCTTCATCTAATTTTTCTATAGATATTAAATAATCAATATATTCTTCGGTATCTTCAGGACACAACTTTAGGTAGCGTCTGAATACTCTAACAGCAGTTTCAGGAATATTATGCTTCTTCAAGAAATTTAAATAAAGTGGCCATATTCTGTGATGTTGTGTAATGGGTAAAGCTCGTAAAGCAGAATCAAATGCTTTTCTTGTAGCAGTAATTTTCCACTGATCGGTCAAGAATGTACAATAGTCCATCCATATCCTGGGCATTTTGTGCATGAATACAAGGGATCTTTCAAAACAATTATTAACATCTTCATATGCGGGATCCGTTATACAACGACCTCTTATTTGTTTTCTCCTAAGTTTTAAGTAGTTATACCACAGCTTAAAAGAGCCTGGCAACTCTTTCAGGGCTCTTTCATAAATGATATTAATTTCATATTTAGGTGCTGCTTTTTTATGTTCTATGTATCTTAGCCAATGCCTAACCGAAAATGGATTCCTTAATATTTCCTCTTCATATGGTAAGTCCTCCTCACTCTGAAATAAATTATATAACATATAATATTTATAATTTCATCAGTACAAAGTTTCTTAAGACTTATCCTTAGTTTAGCAATAAGTTATATTAATAAGTGATTTAGATGATATTCATATCCAAATTTGAGTATTTATATCTGAGGTCTGCTATCATAACTATTATTTTAACTAGTATTGTTTCTTAATATCTCTTAATACAGGGAAATGCGAAGAAAAACATAGTTTAAGCTATCTCATATTACATTACATACTATGTTGTTCAATTGTAAAACATTATCGAAAATTTAAGGATCAAGTTTATAATAGGTTTTAAAAAACTCGTTATTTTAAATAGATAAAGCCTAAAATAAACAATATTAAATAAACTTACAAAAAATATGTCTATTTCTTTTCCATCAAGAACAGGCATTATTTTGGCTTATTATGTATACCCTTTAATATTCTAAAGTTATACAAGACTTATGTGCTTAGATGTAGAGAAGTTTTTTATTACTATTATAGTCTTAATAATTTACGTTTAAGGTCTAATATTTTTAACCCTAAATACTAAGTAAGAAATGTCAAAATCACGAAACTATTGAAAGTCAAAAGTAATTCATGAGCGTTGGCGGCAGTTTACAGAGGTAAGCGTTTAGAAACACGCATATATATTTAACGTTCGAAATGTACGACAATGTAATTTACAAAAATTTCCGAAATAATTTAATATAAAGTTATTAAATATATATATAATATTTTGAATACGTATGTTTAATCAATGTCCACATACAATTCATTTATTTATTTTTAAAAACAAAGAACCATCAAATCTAATCGATATGTCTAACTCTAATGTCTTAATTTTTTTATGATACTTCAAAAATAAGCGTGGTAAAAGCATCAAATCGAGTTTACTCTTTATAGTTTAATAATTTCATTTACTGTTTAAAGTGATTTAAGTGAAGGAAAAGGGAAATGTGTCTTTATTACAAACATTATCCGTGAAACAAATGTTTTTCAATTATAATGTCAAAACAAGGAAAAAGAAAAATTACTGTCGAGTTACCGAAAACTAAAGATCTCTCAAATAGACCAAGTGTTTTTGAGCGTCTTGGTACAAAAAAATCTTCTGGTACTAAAAAGGCTGCGGAATATTGCAGGCAGTGGGCCCAACACGGTACTTGTGCTTACGGTAAAAATTGTAAGTTTGCTACAACCCACACTCTAATAAGCCCATCAAAGCAAAGAGCAGCTAATAAAGATAGTGAAAGTAAACGATTGGTTAAAGATGATGCTAAGAACCGATTGCATTCAACTGTAGTCGTTCGGTCGGGTCGTAGTCCTGATGGCGAAATCGATAACTGGGATCAAAATGACTTAGAATATGCAGACACAGACGTTCTTGAGAAGAGAAGACAGCAGTTGCAGCGTGAATTAGAGTTGCAGTTAAAAATGGATTCCAACAAGGATGTTCGTAAAGACAAGAAGAAAACAGTGTCAAGTTCTTCTTCGTCAAGAAGTTCCAGCTCTTCTAGCGTTTCTTCATCTTCTTCAGATGGCAGTTCATCATCATCGTCATCTGGCAGGTAGTTAAAAGTCCCCTTTTTTTTTGGTAAAGAATGCTATATAATGACATATTTACAATGGTTAAACATAATATTGGACCAATAAAAGACCAAAGCAATATTAATTAGATTTAAATTAGTTTAGATATACCTGTAATAGTTCTGGTTATTTCTTTTTGTACTTTGGCCACCAAAAGACTAAATGCTTTACATCTGATTGCTAAAACTCTGTTTTGACGACGTGAGTATTGACCACCATCCAGGAGTACCTTACATACCACTAGCAAATGCTTAGCTTTTCTATCTCCCTGCAGATAGAGTAAGTTTTTTTGGTTCCTTACCCCTTCTTACTAATTTACTCTGATCTGGAAAAGTCAGTTGGTCAGTTGGTGATAAAAAATAAATAAAAGTGTGTAAAAATCTCCTTTGTGTAACCACTTGTTCTGCATTTCTAAACAAATTAAAAAAGCTCGCTAATAATACTTAAGAAAATATGAATAAATTTAAGTATTTTTGAATATAAATACTTAATATGATAACTAAGATTAAAGTATCTTAAAGAGTATTCACATCACTAGGGGCAAGTCTCTATCAATATCAGCCCATCACATTTGTTTACAAGATTGCTAAATTCTATTGAAATGAACTATACATATACCTCATATATATAATTTAGTAAAAAGTAATTACTTTAATGTTACAAATGAATTCCTTTTTATTTATTTGTATGGATTTGAGTATTATAAATTAGAAAATAGTCACTTTTGACACAAAGTTATTTAATGGTTAGTCACATTATTTTTCCATCGAATAGAATTTCAAATAAACTTAGTCTTAAATAACTATTTTTTTTGTAGAGATGCTAAGAGAAGAAGCAAGAAGGGCAAACTAAAAAGAAACTCGAGTTCATCATCTGAATGTGATATTCCTACAAAAAAAAAGTTAGTCAAAGCTAATACTTTGAAGAGAGACAAAAGTGAAACTAAAAAGATTGCTGTGAAAAAGGATGACAGGTTATTGAAGAAACAAGAAACCAATAAAAAGAAGAATCTTTCTAAGGCAATTGGCAAGAAATCATTATCTCCCGGTAAAAAATCTGGTGGAACGCCACCCATAACTACGAAGAGTGTAACATCTAAAAGCACTTCTTCAAAACACGTTAAATCCCCACAAAGAAAAGAGAGGAATAAAAGCGTCTCTCCTCATTCAGCTCGAGATAGAGATCGAGATAGGGATCGCACTAAGGACAAAGAGAGAGAAAAAGACAGAGAAAAGGATAAGGACCGTGAAAAAGAAAGAGATCGCGTAAGAGGGAGGAGTCGATCGCCCAAAAAAGCTAGATCCAGGTCCCCTAGGAGACATGGTTCGCACCCAAAAGACCCAAGAAGAAAAGAAAGTGCGGAAAGGAGTAGACCAGTTTCACCTAAAAAGCAGTTGCGTCGTGATGGAAGTCCTGAACGGCATAGAAAACGTTCAACAAGTAGAGATCGAGATAGAGGCCGTGATCATAAAGACAGATCTCTAGAAAGAAAGAAAGATAAACACGATGATAAGGATCGTCACGATAGGAAGGATAGAGGACGGGAGAGAAATAAGGATAGTAAAAGGGATGATCCCAAGAGGAGAGGCCGCGATCGCGGTTTGGGAGGTAATAGAGGGGACAAGGGCTTAGAAAAACCTAATAAGCCAATGCAAAGGTTATTACCACGTCCAGAGGAACGTTTGGCCGCTCTTGCAGCCATTTCGAACCGGGCCTTGGAAACTGATAAAAATTCAACTAATTCTAAAGATCGTCAGGATACACATTCCGAAAGGGTTGGACGGAAGCAAGACAGACTAGAAAGAGACAGATCTAATAAGAGAGAACGGATGGACAGTATAGACAGAGAACAAGGTGATTATGAATTAGGAATGGATCATCAATATGAACACGGAATTGAGCATTACGACAGGATGGAGGATCGGTATGAAGGTGTTACTAGAGAAGGCGACAGGTCTCCAGGCTACATACAGGGTAGGGACAGGCATTATGACCCCAACTACGACATGCCGGGCCCAGCGAGAGGATATGCTGAAGACGATGAGAGGATGTATGGCGAATCAATGGGAGATCCTCGTGGAGTCGATATGGGTGAACATTGTTTTATTTACTTTGATTTGATGTCTTTATTCAGAACAACTTTATAAATCGAATGCTGTTTAGGTTACGATGACCGCAGACCTCATCGTGATCGCTCATGGGAAGGACGCTCGGGTTCTATGGACCGCGAGCGAGGTTATATGCACTCGCATAAAGATTGGGATAACGATGATTACCGTGGTCCTGGCGATTGGGGGCGAGATCGCAACTGGCAAATGCATGAAGGCCAGGTAAACTTATTATGGTCTAATTCTGTAGTACCAATTAGGAATGTTAAAATTGAACAAAAAATAAATTATAACTGAATAATTTTGCCCAGGCAAATCAATATCACCAATATTGGAATGAGTTAATTGATTACCGCAAAAGAAATCAAAATACCTGTTGTATCCTATCCCATATTTTCCTTGGATGTCCCTATCCTCATTTTGGTATGGTTATATTATGATTAGTCACTATTAATTTACTTAATTTATTATTTGGAATTTGTTATTGATGATAAATATTTTCCTTTCATTAAAGATGAACGAGTGGGGTGACAAAGAGCAGGATATGGAAGGTTGGCATCATCGTGGTCATGGGCCGGGGCCACATCGGGGTCGTATGCATGGTAGTACTAGACTATTTATGCTTATAAAATGTATTGATAATAAACATGACGAAAAAGGGTTTATTAATGCAAAAAAATGCTTATAGATGATTATAATCGCGGTGGGAGAATGGATCATGGCAGAAGCGAAGGTAATGTGAGGCGAGCTCAAAGAACCGAAACTGATACCTCAAAGGAGACGCCAACAACAGCTCCAACAACAACAACAGTACAGTCCGAGGATGTTGAAAACGAAGATAAACCTATTCCAGACGATCTCAGTGAGATTAGTGATGACCCTGATGATATTCTAGAAAGAGAAGATGTAATATATCGATCTTTGTTTTTCATTTCATATATTTTTATATCACACAGAACATGATGTATACGAAATATTATTATTACAGATGCTGGATCAAAATATTGACGAAAATAGTCAAACTGATCAAGTAATGGATGAACCGCAAACGAAGCCAGAGGGATCAGAGAAAGAATCAATTCAGGTATACCTAATATTAGAAATTAAACAAGATATTATTGTTAAACCAATGATCGCCATCAAATTTAGAGCTTTGTTAATAACGCGTAATTCTGACACATTTTTAGGGTATTTTTGTTCTTATTTATTATTACTACATATTTTCATTAGATTCATATATATTTTTTTATTTTTAAGGATACGAGTGGGATTGGCGAAGAAAAAGAATCTCATGAAGTTAAGGATGAGGAAGATGTTACTAACTTGGACTTCGAAGAAATATCTGATGGAGAGTTGGAAGAGGAGCGTACCAGAGGTAATATACATATCATTTAATAAATCAATGTCTCTAAAATAATTAAGTTTTGAATAATAATTTTTCATAGCACTTTTTAGACTTAACAAGTAATGTGAATTACATCATGAAGTCATGATGAGATCTTAGAATTTCGCGAGTTATCATTGAAATAAAAGTATTATAGTTTTATTGGACTCACTACACGTTTTTAATTATATTAACTTTATACTCCTAACGATTCGATTACTTTGCAGCAACCGTGATCACGGGCAGACGAGTTGCGATACTATTGATTATCCTAAAATTTATAATATAATTGTTGTTTTTCTTTGCAACTTATACACGATAATTTTAATTTTCTAGCTGGCCTGGGAGATGCTCTGGGTGTGGACTGGGCAAGTCTAGTAGCTGATGTACGGCGAAGAGAACAAACGGCACCTACAGGTGGCACTCGCGACAGGTGGCGACCTGAACGAGTGCTTTCAAGATTAGGACTCTCAGTAGATATGGCCGGGAAGGAAGCTGTGCAGAAAATACTACAAGAGAACAAAGATTCTCTGGCATCAGAAACAAAAAGTACAGAAAATGGTGTTGATGATTCAAATGTTGTGAATGGAAATCATGATGAAAACGAATCAAAGGCCCATACTCCCATGAGTGTAGATGATTTGCATCCGGTAGCTGTAATTCAGGTAATTGTATTATTGCAACCATTGTTGCTATTTCTTATAATTTATTAATTTTATTATATTTTCTTTTCAAGTTACAAGTATATATATTTTCATTACCATACAGGTCGCAATGGAGAAAAGGAAGCGTCAACGCGCAGTATTATTCGGTTCTGGTTGCGAGATAACCAGGGGACTGAGCGCGAGGCGTGATTTGGCATTACGGAGGTATCTCTGTCATTTACCAGTGGCAGAACGGACAGGATCAAGGGTCACTCCACAACCTACACTGTTCCATGCAGCTCGAGCTCTGCTTATGCAAGCTCCTGTAACTGGCTGACGTAGAATTTAAACCCTATTGCACTGAGATAAATAAAAAGTGCATATAATGGGTTATATTGAACTGTTCATACTATTTGGACTCACAACAAATTAACTGAAATTGTGCTTTAATAAAATGTTATATCAAAATTGTGATTGAAACAAACTTCTGTGACAATAGTGTGCACTGGAAACTTAATGAAAGAATCCTTTTTTAAATATTAGATCTAAGAAAGAACTTGATGAGGAATAAATAGTGTGTAAAATTTCCATCAGTATAATTTATTGAAACTGTTGATTGTGACCTGTGGGGATATATAAAATTACTCAATGTAATTCAGTTTTTAAGCAAAGTACATAGTTTAAACAAAGATCCAACATGATATTGTAATGTTAATAATTTTTTTTTATATAAATGTACTCTGTAGCTGGATTAAATTTTGATGTTGTCCATTAAAAACGATACATCTGTTCCAACTGGATACTCAATCTTTTCTTCGCCCCTAAAAAATATATATATGAATTAAAAATAAATTTAGAACATTCTAGAAATAATACATTGTGTTAATACTTGCTTCTTAAAAAGTACAGCACCAGCTACTCCTTTAAGAATTAGTGATTTCCCATTTACATGTAAAATGCTTCCTTCTCTTAATCCTAATACTGTGCTGGCATGTGGCATGTCCATATATTCACCTATCCTTTGATCTCTGGTTTCTCCTTTGTGTTTCTCATTTTCAGGTTTATCAATGTAATGCGGATTGATGTTAAATGGAACAATACCAATAGCATCAAAACTAGGTGGGTAAATTATTGGCATGTCATTAGTTGTATGAATACTTTTTGTAGCTACATTTGTCCCAGCACTGCTTCCAATATATGCCAGATCACCTGCCCATACCCTTTCCCTTATCAGAGACACTAAATTGTTATCATATAATGTCTTTAAAAGTAGAAAAGTATTTCCACCACCTATAAAAATTGCTCTAGCTGTTTTGATAGCCTCTGCTGGGTCATTAAAGGTATGTAGACCAGACACAGTAAAGCCCCAAGGGACAATAACATTTTTAATAGTTTTTGTGTATCCATCATACCCCTTTTGAGCGTATGGTATAAATATTAGTTCTTGAACATCATGTCTGGAATTTGAGTATAATTAAGTAAATTGCAATGCCTCAATAAATAATTAGTTACCTTTATTTAATATATTAAAATTTTAATAACTTACTTTTTTAAAAAATCACAAATTTCTCCTTTCGCAAATTCTAACATGGAATATCCATGGCAATTTGAAGATGAAAGCAGCAAAGCTTTCGAATGTTGCTCCATTATTTGATGGTAATTACTTAAATATTTTAGAAAAGTACGGTGTGATTGGTGACGACAGTGAAAATAAAAGACGTTCAATAAGTACTTCATCAACGTGGCAACCTATCTTTGTTATCGAAATAATGACACAATTTGAAAATATCTCGAAGCTAATAAATTATTGTATATTATATACAACGAAATACCTATGTTATTGATATGTGACATTACGTCGGCAATGGACTGTCAAAGAAGTTTGACATTTGGCATGATTTTGTCAAAATCTAATTAATGTCATTTTTATTTGGAGTTGTAGCTAGAATTTTAAGTATAGTCCATTTCAATAGAACTTGGCAATCTTGTAAACAAACGAATTGACTACGATTACTCCGTTCTTCCGTACAATGAAGATGGATCCTGATAATAATTACATAACAATGAACCCACCACTGTTTTTGACAATCTTTATCATTAAACAACTGTGTAAATATGTTTATTTTTTAAAATTATTTTGAGCACGAAGTGAGCCTCAGCTAGTTCATCAAGGACGAGGTTCAAAAAGGCCAAAGTGGTCAAAAAGCTCACTATGAAGAAAAAAGACATTAAAATAAATATTTACCATCATTTTAAACAAAACTCATCCACATATCCATCCAAAATGGAAATGTATAATACTATTTCGGAAATAATGAAGGTCTCTCAGAGTTCAATACGTAGTAATGCGGAAAAGTACCACGAAACTAATGAAATGCCACAGCCAATAGAAAGGCCTCGTAATCGAGTTATAATTGATGTTTTGAATAAATTTGTTCTATGAGCAATACGCATAAAAGTAGGTACATCAATTTTAATTGGATGGTGAAATAACGATTGGAAAATTTCTGAAAGTGGTTAATAATTATGACAGTCTGCCTAAATTTCCTCATAAAACAATGTACAGAATACTGAACAAATTGAACTTTTCCTAATCAAAAAGATCCCGAAGAAGTATTTTGCTAGATAGGCCTCATATACAAGTTTAGAGGGTGACTATTTAATGAGATTATCTGAACATAAAAGTCAAAATAAAAAAATCTATTATCTAGACGAAACCTGGCTAAATGCAGGACATAGTATCAATTCCACCTGGATAGACAAGATATAAAAAGCAGTTGAAAAGCATTTTTACACGGCCTCCCAACTGGGTTAACAAAATATTCAGAAAGGAAAAAGTTGATTATTCCCCATATTGGTATAGTGAAGATGGATTTATCTAAGGCGGAGAGTGGGTATTCGAACAAAAACATCTAAAGGTGATTATCATGCAGAAATGGATGCTCATAATTTTGAAAAATGGTTTGAACGAATGTTGACTAAAATTCAACCAGGCTCTGTAGTAGTGAGGGATAATGCCCCATACCATTCTCAACAACTCGAAACTATGCCTAACATAAGCTGGAAAAAAGACGTTATTCAAGCATGGCTACAAAGTAAAGGTATAGCTTTCGATACAAAAGAAATAAAGGACAAGCTATTCTTAAAATTCGACAAACATAAATATAAAACTAAATATGTGAACGATTACTTCGCATCCAAAGAATAACTGTGCTTCGTCTTCCACCTTAACTTAATTCTATTGAACTCATTTAGGCCGAAGTAAAATCATAAGTAGGAAGAAAAAATAACACATTCAAACTGCCAGAAACGAAAAATTTCCTTAAAGAATGGTTGACATGGATTGGAGCAGAACAAGGGAAGAATCCGGCGTCGGGACGTGACGACCCCATCGCCCACTGGTGTATTCCGGTGCAATCAGTCACGGGGGGGAGGGCTGGGGGTACAGCCCTGGGAGTAAGACGGTCACGGATCTGGCAGGAGGCCGTCCGTGGCTGTCTTGGGGGGGAGGGGATACTCGGGTCTCTCCGGAGGCCTGAGTTCGCTTGTGGTCGGTCGGTTTCCTCTCTGTCTGCCGTCGGGCGCTTGCGCTCGTCGGTGGGTGGTTGGAGACTGGCCGCGTGGGCTTGGGTGGGAGGGGTAAGGGGTTAACCCTCTCGCGATTAAGCAAGCCCGCCAGGCGGGGGGACACTCCTGGTCACTTGGAGTGAGCCCTCGGGGGGGGAGGTGGCCGTTCGCGGCCCGCCGCCGGATCGTCGCGGATGCATGCTTCGGCGTTTCCCGTGGCGATCCACTTGGCGGCAACGGAGAGTGACCGCTGGTGTTTTAGTGGGTAACATGGGCCCTTCTGGCCGTGAATCCCACATAACCGCCTCTGTCTCCCCTAGACGGAGGGGTAGGTATAAAACCTTTCACCGCGATAACAAAAAAAAAAAAAAAAAAAAAAAAAAAAAAAAGAACAAGGGAAGAAATACGTTAGCCACGTCTTAAAGGAAGAAGAGGAGATGAAAAAGTTGGATGGCATCATAGATGTAGCAACTAATGTTTGAATAGAGCCCTTTGTACTTAGTCCAAGGTGATACTTCAGAAAGCGATAATTTTGAATAAAACCATTTATGTATATAGGTACATAGGTAAATATGTATAATATTTATTTAAATATAATAATTAAGATTGAAAGATCTTAAAGTGTATACACCAAACTAGTGGCATAGACATATCTATGTCAATATCAGCTGATTATGTTTGTTTACAAAATTGCTAAATTTGAAATGAACTATACATAAAATATAGAAAATAAAATATAAATAAAATAGTAGAAATGATACGAATTTGTTATAGTTTATATAAAATTCTATATTATTCGAATGAACTGCAAAACTAAATCACTAATAAGTCCCTACGTTTCCAAACTTGTTTAATATTAATTTTCACTAGTTAAAAAGTCAAAACTATAGCAATTTCGTCTTTTGTCGCTTTAAAATTAATTGCTATAAATCTCGCTACAAGACTTATACGTCCCTGGACAAAAATTAAACAGGGACGATTACGCCCTTAAATCATTGGCTACTATTTGGAGGCGTCAATAAACTGTATATTTTATTAACAGAATCTGTGTTATATTTTATAGGACAGGCCTAGATTTGTTCTCAGTAAGCATTTCAAATTTTTAATGCATTGTGTAGATCACTGCTTTGCCATCAACCTATGTCCTGAAAGAGTGTAGACAGTGTCGTTGGTTAGAGTTTCTTATATACCTACATGGTTTTTCGTTCTCTATGTTGTACAAGGTAATCATTTTTATGCCCTTTCTTATAGGCCGCAGTAGCCCCTTATTTCATATATTTTTCAGCCAGATAGTTTTCCTTTCTTTAATTTTGTTTACTAAGTTTGCCCATTCGAGTGATAAGTACAGTTGTACTTATAATTTGTGATAGTCATATTTTTTTTCTAAATTGTATTATTACCTTTGTTTATACTATAAAAAGAGTTTAATGTAAAAACTTTTAAAGAGTTGTGTAATACGATTATTTTCATTACAGTCTATTTCAGGATTTAAATATGTTTCGTCCATGTACAGGGACCAAGAGCATTTGTGTCCATATTTACATAAAATGTACATGTTTATTTTTTACAACCATTATTGTCATTTGTATCTTTTTATTATTAATAAACCTTAAAATCATTTCTTAAATTTATTTTTCACATTAACATTATAGTAACAACTTATGGATATTATTCAGAGAGAATAATTAAAATAATAAATATATCATGTGCTAATGTTTCTGAGTGTCAAGAATAAAGAATCGTTCTTGTTGTGTCTTGTCACAATTCGGTCCGAGGTACTGTCTCCTTATTTCAAGATCTGGTGGTGATGAAATATCGTCCTTGAGAATGTTACTAGCTTCTTGTATAGTGCTCTCAATTTCAGACTTCAGCTCCTGAAAAAAATATTTTAATCTTTAAGTTGTATTTATGATTAATAAATTAAGATATTCGATTTATAACACTTTTATTTATATTATGTTTGCAAGCAAATCGACCCACTTATATAAATTCATTAGGTCATAATGAAAATTCGTCGCTGTTGCTCAATCTTTCAATGTTTATGATTTATTAATTTAATATTGCTCATTAACGTATTTATTTGTTTATAAAGATTAAAAAATATGTAGTAGGACAGAAAATCGTTATAAAAAATTATATTATTAAAAAAACACTTTAATTTTTATTCATTTTATTTTGTAATTGGTAATAAACAGACAACTAATTTCCATAAATCTTCTTCAAAAGTCAAACAAAATTTCATTTGAATGAAAAATTAAGGAACCTTTCTTTCTTTTGCGGCTTTAATATTTTATTCGCTAACATATACATATATTATGTGACTGAATACGTTCTATCAGCTTCTGCATATAAAACTACGTATCACTATCATCTCTTATATTTGGTATTGATCATGTATTAAGTGAATTTACCTACAGTCTCAAAAAAAAAACAATATTTCGTTCGAATGAAAAATTAAGAAACCCTTCTTTCTTTTGCAGCCTTACTTTTTATTCGTTAATACATATGTTATTGTGACTGAATGCATATGTTTTTGTTTCTGTATATAAAACTACGTGTCGTACATACCTCATACAGGTCTGGGCGGCGTCTGGCGCGTTCTGCCAGCGCGGCGTGAAGGTGATACAGGAGTAGGCCTCGTAGGTGCGCGTCTCCCACGCCCAGGGCCGCCGCCGTTCGCAATGTGCAGCGGCACAACCTCTCCTTCAGAGATAACTGGGACTCCGATAGCTCTGAAACAGATTTGAGCATTCTTTAATATTATCCAATAAATATAAATAAATGAAACTATCATTCGGATTACCACCGAGAGGCGCTTTTGGTCCTTTTGGGAATATGTAGTTTGTAAAAGTTATAAAATACGCGTAGTAATTAGAATGATATTAGTTTCATTTAAATGAATACTCGCGAAAGTCTTAGATCTCATTAAAGATTCTGTTTATTTGGAATATATCAAAAACAAAAGTTGGTTTAAATATTTAACATGTTTGGGTTTATATGGGAATTCAACTGAGAAAATATAAAAAAGGTTTTTAAATGTATTCATAAAATGTTGTGATTTTTAATGTACATTAATTTCATTACAATCATTTTTACTCTATTTAGTACTGACTGTTTAAAAAAAATATAGAAAACTTATTTTGATGCGAAATGAAGTTATTATATTCATTCTAGATTTTATAAAAAAATTCGTCTATCATTGCAAACAAACAGTAGGTGAAACTTAAATTATATTAAACAGAATCATTTAATCACATAAAATTCATTCTTTACATGCCACTTAATTGTAAACACATGTAATATTTTCCTATAATAATAGTTTCGAATCACATGACTATGATTACACTTCTAAACGCATAGTTCAATAAATGAAGCATTTCCGAACGGATCACAATGGCTGCCAAATAATATATCAAATATGAATAATTATACATTATAAATAATTAGCTCTACTAACGGCAGTGGTAGGCAGATCCACCGGGAGACCGCGTGAGGGCGAGCGTTTTTCGCTGCTGCACCCATGTGAGCCGAAACCGATCGTGCAACTGATGCACAACAAACGATTACCGGCTTTATAACACTGAATATGTTATACGAGCAGCTCAATGCTGTTAATGACTTTTAAAATATTGCGTTCCAAACATATGTACATTCTATCCCCATATTTATGATCTAAGATTCATATTGCGTTGTATAGTGACGAAGTTAAATTTTGTGCGGACAACGAGTATACAAATGCATGTGCACGTTTACGTGAAAGATTCCAAAAAAACTGTTAATCTAATAATGCGAGTGCATTGCTCTTGATTATTTTTAGGCTTTTTCGAAACAAACAACGTAATAACCATAAAAAACCGCGTTATCCTTTCGATACGTATAAAATATAAGAAATTGTTTAATGTACATATATATGACTTAGCCGAAAAGTACCATTAATTTTGGACCAAACATTGCATAGATATTATGCAAGTTATTCGAATAATACTCGCAATATCAGTTCTGTATTTACTTCAAGGTAAATATGAGTCTTTATAAATATGTAGTAGGTTACACATTGCAAAAACATTGTGGAAAATGATTCTTTTTAGAACAGTATGCCCTACATGTGTATTACCCGTGACGCATGAATTATTTAGTGTAATAATCTCTAATCCAATGCCAATGGCAGAAAACAACTCAAACTTATTTATACATCGTGCACAATTTTGCAAAAACTAGCAATATAAAAATACATCAATTTTATTATAAATCTTAAAAAAGATCAAAAAATATCTGGCCTTATTTTCTTGACATATTTTCAATAAATTTTTAAATACAGAAAGAAAATTAAAGTTGCCATATTAGATGTAGGTATAATACCATTTTCTTTTCTGTATTCGTATGTTAGTAGAACTTTATAAAATTAAGTATATGTATTAAAATAATTATTATATATTACATATAAAAATATTTTTTTAAACACTGCATTCGGTACGCGTTTCGTATTCGAGTGTCTGTGATTTGATTTTCGAGCAATAACGTTTCAATGATTCAGGGGACAAAATATATTCTGTTTTATGCCGAGTGTATAACTATTTAAATATATTTATTTTGCAAAATGATTCTGTAGTTTTTATGTTTGGAAGTCGAGTATGACATAAAATTATAGATAATATAATATGTACACATTATTGCTCTTTTAACATAAAAGGGAAGAACTAGGAAACTAACAGTTTGTTGTAATTTTTCTATTAGGAACAATTTTATGAAATAATCACCATAAAATCCTTTTATTATGGAATTGCTCAAAAAATATGAGTGTTTTATTATGGCGTTGTTTGTTGGCGTACCCTTCGTAGCTGCCGGAATTTATGTGCCTTTATTGGTTTATATGGAATTTAATTAATTTATTTAAACCTTCGTTTTTTTATGTAACTCAATAAATCTTACAGCTTACAATCTACTTTCCCTTTTTACGAGTAAATTCGTTCTTTTTTGATAATGATTTAAGTAATAATTTTTACCGTGTTTTTATTTTCTTATAAGTTTTGAACAAATTTTTAAGCGGCAAAATATATGGTTTAAGGGCGTTTAAATAACTTTTAATTTCTTATTATTGGTGATTATTAGGTACATCCTCTGTTAAGTATGTTATTATTATATGTTTAATATACTGCATTACTTTAAAAGGTCAGCTTAAAAAAAAATAACAAAACAAACAAGCATCAAATTATCATTTAAAACTTCTAAATAGGTAGATATTTCTAACGGGTGTCCCATCTAGCGTTTCGAATTTGAACTAACGATAATTTGACATTGGAGACGTCAACTGTCATCGGAGAAGTGTCACATATTTAGTAATAAGTCTGACATTTACGAAATGGGTCGCTATTCGCTTGAGGAAAGCTGGGAAATATTAAAAAATTATTTCCAAAGTGGTGAATCGCCAACGCAAACTGTGCGAAATTTGAAAAAAATATTTGCCAAAAAAGATTTGCCATCGGAGGCATATGTGCGGCAATTTGTGAATCGTGTGCGCGAAACTGGATCACTGTTGGATAAAACAACACGTAAACGTCCATTTCCAGCAAGGTCAACCGAAAACATCGCTGCGGTGGAACAAAGTGTTCGTGAACGGCCATCCACATCGATTCGTCATCGAGCGCAAGAGTTGCACCTTTCTCGGTCAACTACGCACCGAATTTTGCGCAAAGATCTTGCCCTGAAGCCATATAAAGTTCAGTTGGCCCAACAGCTGAAGCCAATTGATCATCCGAAACGTCTACGGTTCGCAAATTGGGCGGAAGATCGTTTGGCCGAAGATGGTGAGTTTTATCGAAAAATCATCTTTTCCGACGAGGCTCATTTTCACCTCGGCGGTTATGTAAATAAACAAAACTGCCGTATATGGGGCACAGAAAACCCGCACGTCGTTGAGGAGAAACCGATACATCCACAACGAGTGACTGTTTGGTGCGGATTTTGGTCCGGCGGCATCATCGGCCCATTTTTTTTTGAAAATGATGAAGGAGCCGCCGTAACCGTCAACGGCGAGCGCTACCGCGCTATGTTAACTGATTGGTTTTTCGGTCAAATGGAAGAGTATGATTTGGACGATATTTGGTTTCAACAGGACGGGGCTACGTGCCATACAGCCCATGCTACGGTCGATGTTTTGCGCCCAATCTTCGAAAATCGCATAATCAGCAAAAATGGTGATGTGAATTGGCCTCCAAGAAGCTGCGATTTAACACCATTGGATTATTACCTTTGGGGAGCGGTCAAAGACGTTTGTTACGCCAACAAGCCAAGCACGATTGATGACTTGAAACATGAAATTGAAGTTGCCATTGCTGCCATAAGGCCGGAAACAATTGAAAATGTACTGAAAAATTGGACTGATCGAATAGGGTACTGCCAAGTAAGCTGTGGTGGACATTTGACCGAGATAATTTTTCACAAATAATGTCATGAATTATGCTTTCAAATAAATGTTTGATCATTGAAATCTATCGAGTCGTTCTTTTTTTATAGCCTTTTTAAATTCGAAATTTTCCGTGAGACACCCTATAGATACCACATTTTTTTTGTAATGATAAATCTAACACCCTTTATTTTTGATAAGATCAAACTATTTAAAGCAAATCTAAGTCTTCATTATTAGCTCTATCAATTGTTTAAGATCATTTTAAAAGGCGTCCAGTATGCTTATTCCGATTTGGCATCGCACAGTAAATACGGAGCGTTAAGATTTTTCATTCATAAATATTGGCTCTTTATATGTAGTATTAACGTTAGTTATTGAATGAGAAACTCGCAATTTTCGTATCACGTATGTATTGTGATGATGAAAACTTAGGATTAGAATAGGTATAGTTTTATTTTGTTAATCCTTTATACGTATTCTCAAAATAAATAGCGGTAATTACTCGGGTTTATGGTGACTAAAATATTGTAATAACAATTTACGCATCTTGTACCAATGCTTCTTATTATCTTTGTATCTTGCCGACTATTTTGGAATAGTATTTGTACTAGGAATGGATTTTGTTATTTGTATTTATACATATAAAAAGCTATTTAACAAAGTCTATGCTTGTTATATAATGTAATGAAATATCTTATATTTTATGTATAAAAAACCTTGACACGCTGAAAACCGCATCACGACCTAGAAACTCAACACTGACGAACATGACTACAACGTACTTTGTCACGTTAGTGTAAACCAATAGTTATTGTAATGCCTACAATTATTTCATGCTCCGATATAAATTTGTTTAGTATATTTTATAATAACACATAATTATAATAGCTTTGTTATATAATTAAAGCGTAACGAACATTTCATTATTGTTATATCAGCCTTCTTGTTTAGTCATGAATCATTGATGAATGTATTTATATAAGCTTTTAGTATATAACATCAACATTTATCGTAGATTTACCATTTAGTCCGTTCTCATCTTCAAAACCAATGGTTATCGCGCTCGAGAATCGCATGATTTCAAGAACGTAATTTGATGAGGGTAAAATTTTTTGAAGCCGTCTCAATACAGGAACATCTACTTGAAATTTCTCGTTTAAGTGAGCGGTTCCTACAAGACTGCCTAAAATACTCTGTATAAAACCTATTTTCTGCGGTGGTACTATTGTTCCACAATACTGACAAACCCATGAAGTGTTTATAACTAGCGGTGATTGAGGTAATATGATTCCGGAGCAATTTTCTTTGAAACAACGTAATGCGGATAAATTTGTATTCATTTCTGTGACATCATTGCATCTAAGGCAGGTGCACAAGAAGTTTTTTGTCTTATAGAGTTGTAATCGTCTAACCGGATTGCAGCATAATAATCCAGTATAACAAGTAGTGATCTCATCACCTTCCTCGATATCTCTGCTCGCGTAAACCTCCATTGTGTAATCCTTTTTAAATAGATTTCTAGAATTAGGTACACAACTGTGATTTAGAAATGATGACAATGGGTACAATCCTCGCAGCTGTATTTTTTTGTTTGTATTGCTTATTCTAAATGTGTTAATTTTTAATATAGAATTTACCGTTTGTAAGAATTTTATGTTTTCTTCAGTTAATGTGACTGCTGTGCACAATGCATCCAATTCCTCAAAACTATTACCATTTTCACTTCTTTGAAAATTTTCTAATAATGTCTTCTCGTTTTCAGTAAGCAATAAACAATTGAAATATGTTATCAATACTGAAAGTGTGATAGAGTTGGTGTCAGATTTTATCTTGAATCTACGGATTTTACGAATAATCATACATTGTTTTTCATGATTCTGCGAGTTTGCGCAATTTTGTGAACAGATAAAAAGAAAACATTTATCACAAATGTAGCACTCGTCACTGATTTCAAAACATGAACAACAAAACTTTTTTCTAACACATCCGACACGGGGACCGACAACGAGATGTTTATTTGTAAAAATTAATGAACCTTTTTTAATAAATTTTGTTGCAATCACACCACGTCCACCCAATGGTGATTTGTCGATTGTAACCGGAGAGTTAACTAAATGGTTCTTTAAAGAAATTCCAATTTTTTGTATCGAATCATTTTCGTTCATTATAACTGGGTGTCTCGAAACAAGAGAAGCGAGTAAAGCTGGAAAATGACTGACGGCATGTTCCGTTTTCGATGTAGATGTATGTTTATGAGATGTTATTAAAATAGAACTTGGAATTTACACACTTACAGATTCATGATGCAATTCGTTTATCAAAATTGTATTTTATTAGATCCTACTATCACTTTTCGCTCAAGCATAATCTTACTTTTGACCTCTTTTTTCAACATACGTTTTGATGTCGTTTAAATGTCCTTAAAGTAAATTGATATCTCAAAAACAGTTACATTTTTTCATAAATTGTAATACAGTAGGTATCTGCTTCCGTAATTTAACTTCACCATAAGGTGTTATGGCTAACACAAACATAGTTTGACATTTGAAGCTTAATGCTGATGTATTAAGTAAATTACAGTAAATAGAATTTGATAACAAATGATACATTATAACAGCTAAAATATAGTCTATTTCCAGAAAAAATGCTTTATCGATGTATATTTACTTTATGAAAGTAATAAATATATATTTCTTTTCAGATTCAAAATAAAGTTTGATTTTTGATTGCATTGATAGCAAAATCATATTGAACTATTCACAAATTTTCAAAAAGAGATATTTTTATGTTTTACATAACTTATTATTTCTTCTTTATTTTATTCAAATATGGTTAGGATGAAAGTCTTACTACTAGTTTGCATCGTAACACTAGATGCGATTCCAGTGTCATTCATGAATCCATATTGATAGTTTCACGTGTGAAACTGTATTATGAAGGACTTGATACTCGTCGTATGTCGTACGACTATATAAACTTATGATAGGGATATATTGTGACAATTTGAATTCCATAAAAAAAAAAAAAAAAAAACAGTATTGTTTTCTGAAACATCAATAAACTCTTAACACAGATCATTATACGGATTTGTTAAAAAATTTAAAGATATATTTTTTAAAATCAATTAAGCGATTTTCATGAAGCACAGTTTTAATGCTGCATTGAATGAAAGTATTCAATTAAATTTGACTTTCTTTGTATACACAAAAATAAGCTTTTTGTAGATTTATATTTATACGTAAATCGAATATAGCTTTGTCAAAATATAATGAAAAAAAAAAAAAAAAATTTTTGCTTTATAATAAACCGTAACTATTTACCGGTCAAAACCAGAAAATCGTTAAAAGAGCCTTAAGGCTTTGTACTGATGAATCCTACTATACTTATTGAACTATAAATGTATTTAACAACAAAAGAATTACCTGAAAATTTAATTAAAGATTTTTTATTCATAGATCAGAAATAAAATTTTATAAAATCATTACATAAAATATTATCTACGAAACTGTGACCTATCAATCTTAAGAATCAAATATTGTGATATAAATATACCTACAACTTATCAGACCTGTAATTCTAATATTGATTTAATGTTCTATATAAATCGTGTGACTGGCTAACAGTCATTCAAACAAGGTACACAAAAGTATTCATTGATATATGCTATTATGTTTAAAATATTTTTTGGGAATATTTATGTTCCGTAAACTTACCATTCCATCGAAGTCCATCCGTTTCGCCAAGCTCCCAAATGAGACGACATTGCAGATCCAATACTATTTGATTTGTTCTTGGAACGTATCTGGTGATTCTGTTTAAATAGAAATTTTCTAATTCATCAACATTTTTCAAATCCAATGATCCCATAAGACTTCCTAACGCGCTTTGTATAACACAAATGTTATCATTTGGCACTCTCATTCCACATTCTAGACAGCGCCAAGCTGTTGTCGTTTTTAATGGATGTATCGGTAATAGTGAGCCTTGGCAGTCTGGTGAGAAACATTTCAGGGCAGCTAGTAACGTCCCTCTTTCAGTTGGATCCGCGCAACGATCACAATCACACAAGAAATGCTTTGTTCTATATAGATATAGACGTCGGGCTGGTGTTCCCCAAAGCATTCCCGAGTAACATGTGAATATTTCGCTACCGGCGTCTATCGTTTTCGTGGCCTTAACGGTCATTTGTAAGTCACCATTAAAACAGTTTCTAGTGTTTGGTACACAGCTGTGATTTAAAATTGATGCCACAGGATATAATCCACGTAAACTCATTTCCTTCTTACCATACTGTGTTGCCATCTGAAATGCATTTGTGTTAAGAACACATGTCACTAAGATCATGAATTCTTCTTCGTGTGAGGGAATATCGAAGTATTGTTTCAAATCTCTTATTTCGCTGCCATACTGTGGTAGTCTATTCGCTTGTAAGGAAGTCAAAAAGTATTTTTGATCTTCATTTAATAACAGTGCTCGTATTGCAGTCAGTGCGCGTGATAAAAGAGTTTCGTCAACTTCCTCAATTGGCACTTTGTTCGGCCAACGGGAAATTATACTACAGTCACTTGAATGGAATTCACTGTTTTGACATTGCACGGAACACAAAGTTAATGAACACTTCGAACATTTAAAAAATATATCACTATCAATATTTTTGCAGACCGTACATCCTTGTTGCACAGTAATTCCGGACCGGGGTCCGTAAACTAATGGATAATCAACAAATAAAACTTCACCGGCCTTGATATCCTGAGTAGCTACCAGTCCCCTACCTCCTAAAGGAGATTCGTATACGGCCCACTTAACGGGATAATCGTCCTCATCGCCAAAAGCGAGTAGACCAAGGTGGTGTTTGATCATAACCGATAATTGTTCTCTAGACACCATCCTGTCGCGACTCAACCTGTGCCCGTACTGAACTGCGCACTCGCTACGATTACACACATCAGTGAGGTTGATAACACTAAATAGTAGCTAGTGATCGAATATACATCGCCAAAAACACTCGCAATCTTCCCGGTAATTAGTTGTGAGCGATAGACGTGCGCCTGGCGTGGTAAGTGTTCATCGTAACACACCTGACGTTTTTAACTCATCGGTTGCCAACTATTTACAGTTGGTAGCGTTTTTTGGCTTGACTATAACTTTTTTATGTAATTGGTAAAAATATATTCTATTTTGTTACTGAAGAAAGTGAGTTCATATTTAATAATAGTTAATAAAATAGTCTTAAGAATATTAAATTCACTCGAATTAGGACAACAAAATAATGAAAATCTACTTTATACATTCCTTAATATATAAAAAAACTAAAATGTTTCCTTTCCCGTTTAAGTTTTAAATTTACATAAACGTGCAATCGTGTTATATAAATAAAAGGTAACCGTAGACTAGCTATGTTTTAAACAAAATTAAAAATCTAATGTAATCCAAATAAACCTGTCGGTGATTACTTAGTTTAACCATTACAATATATCAGTGATGTAGAAAATGAACCCTGTTAAAATGTTATAAATAGAATAACTGTTGTTGAATCATGTTATATTTAGATTGTTAAATAGACTGAATAACTTCCTTCTATCTTGACACACTTGGCCAACAAAATACAAAAGAGTGTATTCATTGTTCCTACGTAGTTCTTATATTTTAAATTAAATTGCAATCTCGTCATTTGTGTAATTATTATAGTTCTTTACTTTTCTACATTAAAATGCCTGTATATCGTTTTGCATGCTTACTTTTTCTTTAATTGTATTTTTACATTAACATTTCTCGTGTCTGAATACTTTAAGTGATTTTATTTAATTGATGATTTCTTGAGTTATTTATAATTATTTCTTAAATTTATGTTTAGTGCTGCGTTAGAGCACATAAAGTAGTACAGACTTGTAACATGATATTAAGCTTTTGTTTGTTATGAGCCGTTGGTTCGGCAACCTGTCTAGTCTCTGTGACCACTTCGCCTATGAGGACGTTTTGAAACGTGTCCTTAAAAAATTTGTAACTCTTTTCACTTTAATGTACTTAAAGTGACTTGTAAAGTGTTAGCGTGAGAATGCACACATTCTTTGATAATAACGAGGACGAGTGCCCTTATTATTATTTTGATGGTTCATATAAAACTTTATTGGGAGCTCTTCTTATTATTTTTGGTAAGTTTAAATGAATATGATTCATGGAGACGTTTATCGTGGTGTCAAAGTAATAAAACGCTTGCTGACAGGTGTGTTCGGGGTGCTCCTTAACGTTTGGCTGTACGCCACTTTCATACACAGTCATCTCCTCATATTAAAGAGTCACATGCTGATACTAAATCTATGTTCAGCATCACTCGGTAGAAATTTACTTGGATTTCCCTTTGCGGGATCATCGGCGATAGCAAAAAGGTAATTTATATAAAATTAACCACTATGAGTATGAGTATTAACTCTTTTTCCCTAAAATTATTAACGTTTTTTTTTACATTTGCACAGATTTTTTAAAATACATTCTTAAGACTAATAATATAAACAAATCCTTTTATTTTTGGTTTAAATTAATTTTAATTTGTTATTAAGTATTGTATTCGCTGATTCCTAAGTACACAATGGCATGTTTTAAAATGAAACTTTTTCAGTTTACTTAGAAAGCATAGTGTTATTTGTAAACGGTGTTTATTTGAATAATCATAATAACATATTAGATTTTGAAAATATCAGATATTCTAACAGATTTTGAAGTTTCACCCATAAATAATTAAAATTAAATTTATTTCAGATGGTTATTTGGTTCAGCATGCTGCCAATTATTTGCTTTTCTGAACCAGTTTTTTGGTGTCTTTCAAATGATTGCTTTATTTGCAATAGTACTGGAAAGATATTTGCTTGCAAAATGTTATAGGCGAGGTTTGCAAATTATTATCAGATATTACAATTAAAAATTCTCAAGATTTCTTAATTATTATAACTGTTTCAGAAAGAACTGTCCACTTTAGGTACTATTGGACACTTATTGGAGGATGTTGGATGGTGGCAGTGTTCTTTGCTATACCTCCATTATTTGGCTATGGACTTTATTCCTGTGACGCAACAGGTACAGTCTGTACCTTCTTATGGCCCTCACTTAATTCTGGTGCGAAACAATTGGGTTTCAGTGTACCTTACGTCATCATATGTGGAATTTTGCCTATTGTTGGAATGTAAGTTTTCAATAATAATATACTGAAATATAAACCGGAAGATAATTTTTTTATTTCATGTTTTAGATTTTATTACATGGGAAAAGCAATTCGCTTAGAGAAAATTTATTATAGGAACGAACAACAAAGAGAAGAACGACGTCTGACAAAGGTTATTTTTATAAACCAATGCCGTGTTGTAAAATCGATTAGTTCTACTAACGGGTACATTTAATGAAGGAATTTTATTTTTCTAGTGTATTCACATTATATGTGTGACAACATTGGCTTTATGGATCCCGGCTGCTATACTGGCAGGTTGGGAATGGCTTCCGTTACTGATGTTCGGATACCGCCCACATGTACCTCAAGTTCTAGCAGTAATAGCGCCTGTAGCTACAGAGGTGAGGTTTTATATAAGAGTTATATTTTATTTAGGTCAAACTTTATATGTACATTTTTTTATAATCTGTGGTCATGATAAATGTCATAAAACGCAGTCGTTTTCACAGGCGGCTACGAGCGTCCCTGTCTTATGTTACCTCAGTGCTGACGAAAGGGTACGAGCGTCGTTATTAGGCCGTATGCGAAAACAATACGCATTGTTGCATCCAGAGCGTGCCAAGCTATACAAAAGGAGTTTATATTAAAACTGTGGATCTGTGATACTAGAAACCGTGAATACAATGAACGTTCTGGGACAACCGGAGTATGTCCAGTCCAAGCTGTGTCGGCTGGCGGGAACTTAATGGCTATGAATAAAGCGAGTTTTGAGGATAGCGCCAAGTGGATGTCGAGAAATGGAGTAGCCTTCAAATATTGCATAAATAAAACAATTTATTTGTAATAATACTGTCTCATTTGTATTCCTAATGTGTTTTGTTAGATGTTTTCCTTAACTTTTCTTTGAATGCAAAAGTTTTAATAGTCGTAAAAAGAAACCAAGATTACATTGAAAGTTTTATAAGTACTTTTCTTGTCTTCTGAAGAATAATATTCAAAATTCTTGTTTTTTATTAAACATTCTTTTACTTTGAAACAAATTATATATCTGTCACCAATTGGATTTAAGGAAATAGAATATTAAGAGGCCAACCAGTCTTGCATCTTCAAATCAGACAGTTGCCAGTTTTTGATAAATATATGGTCTCATATTAATGACTGTAAACTTTCTACATTTAATGTGTCGATGTAAAACTAGTGTTAACAGTACAGAATAGTTTACATAACTAACAACTACGCTCAAGTAATATAAGAACCATAAAATAGATATTTATATAACGCCACGTGCTAGGGCCGTACTTAATAATATTAAAAAAACACTTAATATTTTTTTTACATATAATTATGTACAAAAATATGAATTTGTTTTACCTTTGGGTGCTTTTTTAATTATTTTTTTTAGTTTTATACTGAAATTGGTAAGACCATAAGTTTAAGCTCAGGGCTCTCAATAACTTTTTTTGATTTAAATATATAGATTATCATCAAATGTTATGTACAAATTAACTGGGAATTACACTATTGTTTAAGGGACAAGTTTTGATGACAACCAAGTATCGGAGAAATAGAATTAGACCGTAACCAGATGTAATGTGAGTCAGCTGAGGTAGAAATTTGATCTCGTACTGATTATTGGAAACTTCTCAATTGATTTAACTTCTTCGGACAGGACGGACTGATTCACTACTTGGAATCCTTAAGAAATTGGCCATCATGTCCTCGCATGATTGTGTGTGGAGTGATATATTTGATGAACAATCTAGAAGAAACCTACAATCTGGTTTTGTAATTGCAGGTAAATTACGTATTAATTATTTCACATTATTTAAAATATTTTTTTGATATAATTTTATAGTTTTAATGTTATATTTTTGTTTAGGTGCAATAGCTACTGTTGCAGGATTTTGGCTTAATTCCGTACTATTACTGACTGATTTAAGATCTGACAGAAGCTATAGGAATCTGGCATTTTTCACGTTTATTTCTTTTGTGCGCCGTGCTGTATCAATTTTCAATAATTTTCTAGTATCAAATAATTATGAAAGGTGAGTCTAACACTTGGTTAACACTTTTGGGGTTTTCAATTTAAAGCTCACACCAGACATTGTGTTTTGTTAATATTTTAAGTAACTAATTTTGACACTTTAATATTCTTATTTTCATGCAGGGAAATTTACTAATATATTATATGATTTTTGTTTATAATTACTAAGAATGGAATAGTAGGTACATGCTTTTTAAATAAAAATATTTGCTCCAATAGCTTTTACATTTTAATATTACTAATATTTCTTAATGATTACTTTTATATAACGATAGTTATACGTAAAATCATAGAGAAATATTTAAGAGAGCTGTAGTGTTCTGCAAAACCATATACACTCTCAAAAAATTTTCCCCTCAATATTTTCTAAGGGCACATACTCTGAAAAATTACCCCTTGTGAATGCTTGAGTCAGCAACTACTTATTCATACACACATGTATTCATATATTTCTATGATTTTATATATGTACTACAAGACCCGGCGAACTTCGTATCGCCCTATAATCAAGAAATATATATATATTTTTGGAGTTTACCTATTAAAGCCATAAGTCTCCGTGTTTTGAAGTGCGACAGAATAATTGACATATTAGTTAGTTGCCAAATCTAGTGTCAAAAAAAAGTTTGGATCAACAACTACTAATTAATTAAAAGAAAATTGTCCAGCGGGCAAAATTGTGAATCTAAACCATTCCCAGATCCCCTTGAACACACACAAAAAATGTCATCAAAATCGGTCAAGTCGTTTGAGAGAAGTTCAGTGACATACACACTCACAGAAGAATTATATAGATAAAGATATATTTCTATGATTTAATCAGTTTGAAGTAACACCATAGTTTCCATTGAAAATATTAATGTTGTAACTGATTTTGTATTTACAGTGTGTCTTGTGAATTTTTTGGATTCGTCGAAACCTTTTTCGCTGTGTATGAATACGAATGCCTCACACATGTCTGTATTGAGAGATATGTTGTTGCTAAATACATAACTAATGGTATGATTATAATGAACAGGAATATTTAACTTAAAAAACTTTAATGGAATAATGTTATTAATAATGATTTTTTATATTTTAGGTTGGCCTATTCAAAAGAATCATTATATATTGTATCAAGGATCTTCATTATTTTTCTCGGCTCTATATGCTTTTCCGCCTGTCTTCGGTCTTGGAAGATTTGGTTTAGATTTTTCGTGTCAGTCATGTGTTCTTGATATGGTTTTAACGAAAACATGGGATAGATATGTTACCTTAACTATATTTTTGCTTCGCAGTGTAAAATCAACTGGATTTATGTAAGTTTCATAGATTTTTTAAGTTTTTTTTTTTTATCATATACAATATAATGTTCCATGTTTGTTTCAGTATTACTATGTTGGTATGGGCTCGTAATCTCGAAGCTAAGTTTCAAGCATCTCCTGAGTTATTACAGCAAAAAAGATTTACTAATGTAAGTATATATATTCAATTAGTATACATATATATTATAAATGAATTTCTTATAAGTACATATTTTGCAAACGGGCAAGGAGTGTAATACTCCTTGCCCTAATATATACTTTTATATACAGAAGAAAGTCGTGTAAGTTACACTATTTATAAGTGAAGAACGACTGTACGGGTTTCGCTCAAAATTGGTGGAGAGATATCTCTGAAAAAAGGGAAAGGACATAGGATACTTTTCATCCATAGGACATAGGATACTTTTCATCCAAAAACATAGGTTGATCATATCCAAAATCTTGTTATGTACAGTCTTTAAGGAGGATCAGAGTTCTCCTGGTCAGCTATACATTTCTAATTCTGAAACTCACGCAGACAAAGTCGCTGGTAAAAACTAGTATATGTATTCTTATAAAGTAAACGTTTATAATTTATGTGATGGGATTATTTAAAATTCAATTAACAATATGTATATTATATTGTCTTCGTTTTAAATAGAGCGTAGTTATCATGACAGTCGCCAACATAATGTGTTGGTTGCCAATCGCCCTGTTACGAGGCTGGGTTTTAGCGTCTCAAGTTTTGGCTGGCGATGACCTGGTTAAACCATCTGCGACCGTCATTCAGTTTGCTATTTGGTTACAATGGGTAAATATAGAATTATTTAATAATAACCTAATATTTACGACATATATAACATTATAATGTATACGATTTGTCTGTCTGTTTGTTTTTGATCTTGAACTACTGGTGTAGCATGAATTACGTCATAAAATTTATATTGTATAGTTCATATGATTAAATAGAGAGTTTACCGTAAAGAGTAAAATAAATTTGGGTGAAGGATGACTCGTAAACAACGACTAATTGACTTTTATCAATTTGTAGGCAAGTTTTTGTTCAGAAGGTCAAGGGTCAAAACGAAGGCCAAATGTCAAAAGGTTATTGACCTTTTTTATTTACTTGTATAAAATGACTGCTAAAACTAATGACCGTATTATGGTGAAATTTTAAGAAATTCCAACGGAGATATCTTGACCATAAACTCTATAAAATTAATATCAGTCTTTAAATGTTTCTCTTCCCTTTCAAAAAACTTTTTAATATAGTGAGATTACTTTGTGTATTTATTTTAAAACTCAATCACTGACAAGCGAATTTACTAATTGTTAAAGTTGAGAGTTATTTAAAATTAATATTGATAGCTCAACTTAAAATTGGTTCTCTTCGGAAGTCCGCACACAATTGTGTTTTGTTCAGAACTATTTGAATTAATAGCTTCGTTTCCATATAACAAAACTAAAATATACATTTATGATATAAAAACAAAACCAGTCTATTTAAATATGTAGCATTATACAAACCTAAGATTCAAAAGGTTTGTTTGCGATAGCCGTCTTTTCTAAAAGATTTTTTTTATGTGTATGACTTAGCTTGTTATATCTGAAGATCAGTCTCGGTTATTTAATTATTTGTGTAGATATTTTTAACAAAACAACAACATACTTCAGCTCTTTAGAGATTTATAAATTACCTTTTATACTGTACACGCTTGTGTACACTCCGTAATTTTAAAACGTAACACTTTCTTTCAGTTTTTCTTTCTTTTCATCATATTTTATAAATGTTTTACTATAAATGTTATTTTGTAAGATAATTTTATGGGTGTCCATTGACACCTAACCCATTCTAATAATATCTAACCCATTGGTTAATGTAATTATATTTTTTAGGCGGCCCCTGCGTTTACAACAGCAGCAATGTTTTACTACGACGACAGAATTCATAAAAAAATGGCAGGCGAAAGATGTAACAAAGAGGAATTATCTAAAAAGCAGTAGGAGTATTACTGTTTTAGTATTACTGACTTCTACTATTTTATTATATAATTATATACACATATCCCTATTAAATTATACTTTAGTATATACTTTAATAATCTTTAGTTTTGCTTGTTAATATAACAATTGCTAGGTTTTTATTTTGGTCATTTTACATTCCATAACACTAGTGATCGTTGTGCAAAATTATATGCCTATATACTATTAAGAATTCGAAAAAACATAGGACTTTTAATGTTGAAGAAAATGGACTGATCCGAGGAATATACTATGTAGTACAAGTTTTAAATAAGGTGTATTTATTCTGTTGATATTATTTTTTAAATATATGGAAAACAACATATTGATGTGCAAACTATTATATGTTAAATATTGAAATATTTTGTATCAACATACACGAGCAATTTCATAAGTATATATCAAATAAAGATATCACATAATATGTAAATAATGATAACAAAGTGTTATATTTAAAAGAATACAGATAATGAAATTATATCAACAAAAATAACATAGTGTAATAATCATAAGTATTACAGCGATGCGCGTAATCTATTAAACTCACACAAACATGTATGTATACAAAACATTAAACACACACACACACACACACAAACAAAGACGTATATTTTATATAATAATTGTAATCTCAAAATATGTAATATTGAAATGAAAATAAAAACAAATAGTTGATTGTGGTAACTTTTAATCAGGTCACATGCATATTAACTCGATAGCGAATATCTTTACAAACATTTGTACGTAGAAACTGTTAAAACAGTATACAGTTTATCTAATTCAGTCTAATATACAATCATTGATAGGACAGTTTTATTATACGTTCAAACATCATATATGTATACAAGGCAAGACGTATGAGGTATCCGTAAAAAGATATGATTATAATGATAAGATTAAATTGGATGTTGGACCTCGTTGAGGGTCTAACCAAGATTGGTCCGTTTTAAGGCCGAATATTTACATTTATACTATACATTAAACATATATATCTAAGAAGAATATACAAAATAGTGCATCGCTTATATACAACTAACTTACATTATATAATCATAATAATAATTTATTTTTATCAATTGTATAACATATTATATTAAAAACAAAAAAAAAAACAAGAAATTGTTTTATTTATTAAAATATATTGATTTATTGTATGCATTGTTACACTTATTATTTAAATTTGTTGGAGTCTTTGGGTTAATTGGATTAAATAACTATTATTTTACACTTTCACATATACTTGTCGTCATTTCTATATATGTCGTCACTACAATTGTCCACACAATCTTTGGAATGAGCTCGTATCCTATAGTCGCTAACTCTAACATTATTTACACATTCTTCATCTTCATTATCAACAACTGTTGTATATACCCTGTTGCTGTACGTGTCCTCGGTTGAACCGGAGGACGGTGTAGAGGGACTGTTCAGAACTATGATAGGATTGTTATATCTAGTTCTGGTCCCTCTGAAGTCATCCTGCTAAATCTGTTCTATCGTCGCATCTCGTCTTCGTCTCTCCAACATCGGAATGAAGAATAGAATCAGACCGCTGAGTGATATCGTTCCTCCAGCGACGAAGAAGGCTGGTGCGTAGGAATTCAGAGAGTCGAATAACCAACCTTAAATATAATAATTAATTATTATTAGTAACATTGTTATATAAAATTTGATGTAAAAAATTAATATCAATTTAAAACATACCAGCAAACGGTGGTCCAATAAGTGATGCGATTCCTTGGAAGAGTAGCAGAAGCCCAAAAGCATTTGTCAATTTCTCTATACCAAGAAGATCGACAAGTACTACGGAGGTGAGACCCACATAAGCACCGATAGTGAAGCCAAACATGGTCGCGTAAAGAGCCAGTCCCCAGAACTCCCAGCAAGCCATCGCCATTGCAGTACCTTAGAAAATTAGCAAGAAATTAATAGTGTCTCAATCTTTTATGTAACTCTGATCGACTGAATCCCAATGTTATTCCAATTTATCTGGCAAAAAAAGTGAACCCGTATTTTAGAATCATTTTATACTATAAAATATATGGTCAAAAATCACTAGTGACTTTTACATCCATAGGAATATTTACTGATTTAATGATTGTAAGGTTTTCAAGAGTATTTATTAAAAATATAAATTTTATTTAGTTTTATTCTTATTCAAATTATCCACCACAATTCCCGTCATCATAATCGATGCACAGTTATCGAAATGTATACATGTAAGACCGAATAATGCGTACGAAGATGAAAATGGCGTTACTTCACTAAAATTTACATATTTTTTATCAACTCTACTTAAATCTAATTAATACTCAAACTTTACAATCATACTCACTTATTCCAGCAATCGTAAGGCACACATTGTAAGCTAATAATCGGTTGACCCACGGCTTGTCGCTTATATATCCAAGAATGATTCTTCCTACTAAGTTTGATGCTCCAATTATAGATATCAGGTAAGCTGAATTTTCGATTCCCAAGGCGGCACTCATTGGTACCGTGTAAACATATGGTATGTAGAACCCTATACTTGTTAAAAAGTTTGATAAAGCGAATAATATAAATACAGGATCAACCAACAAAGATATGTCGAGCATTTCTGCTAGAGCAGCTTTCGATTCTTCTGAGCACGGCAGCCAGCCACATCTTTGTTCACGTTCTTCTCTTTTAAATGAAAGCTGTACTCTTTCTGGAGATACTCCTCTGAATCTAGCGAGACTCGTCATACTGCCTTGATATAAAACATCAGGCCTTTGCATTATTCCACTTCCTTGCCGCGATTGAGGTTTTTGTTGTTCGTGTGGCTTATTTAGTGCCGGTTGGGAAAGTGTTAATCTAGCGACATCATCTTCAAATTTTCCGTTCGCCCGAACAACCTGTTCCGAGCTTTGTGATCTTTTCAAAGGTGATTTGTTTTGCTTCGGTAACATTGGCTCCGTGATTGGAGTGATCGGTCTCTCAGGAACCGCTCTGAACATGAGCCCCAAGGGAACACAGTTAAGTATGAAGGCTCCAATGAGCGCCATTGCTCCACGCCATCCATAATTTGATATTAAAGCGTCAGTTATGGGGGCGAAAAGAAATGTTCCTAGTCCTGAACCACACACGGCGATCCCTAAACAAAAAAAATATATACTAAATATAAATCTATTATTTTACAAATATAATTATTATGCTTAAGAGTACGAACCTGTAGCGAGACTTCTATATTTTTTAAACCATACGGTGACGCTGACAATGGCAGGTAGATAGATAAGGCCGAATCCTACTCCAGCGCCTACGCCGATCGTAAATATAAGGGTTGTCACATTTTTGGCGAAAGCCGATGCGACCACACAGACGGAGGATAGTAATGCACCGGCCACAGTAACAGTTCGACAACCCCAGCGGTTCACAAACGAACTAGATATAGGACCTGTGAATTGCAAAGAAACGTTTCCATACAATATATGTTTATTAGTATATACACACGTGTATATAGATAGAAACTATGTAGCATATAGATCTATGTATATTTTTGTATACATAATTCACACACCTATGTAAGAATATGGTTAGAAGTATGAGTATATATTATATTAAACTTCCATTTCTAAAACATTGAAAGCCATAGAAATATCAGAGCAATTTCGTATTTCCATATTAAGTGTACTTGTTATTTAAGAAATATTTAAAATTTATGGCAAAAGGGGCTCGAAGTTCATTTAAGATTCTGCGAAGAAATTAACTTTTAATGAATTTTAATAAAACATTAGTGTTTATTTCATAGATTTTCAATATGGTTGAAACTTTTAATATAATGATTAATATTGAAGATGCTATTTTTTGTTTTGAAGGATGTATACAGTAATGATGTCGTTAAATTTAGTCAAGGTACTGACCTTATATTTTTACTGAAAAATTTAATTGTATGTTTTTACTTAATATATCTCCAATTTTGTTAAAATAATACAATATCACAATACTTAGATAAACAAATACTTAGATGACATTAAGAAGTTTGTACAAAACTTAAAAATTATTTATTTTAATATAATACATATATAACACAAAGAATCAGTTCATCGTTAATTTATATTTTACTCTAAAATAAAGATAATTCATACGACGATTAGATTTGAGAAAATTTTAATATTGTATATTATTATAAAATATATAATCAGATATTTTCTAGATAAAATTCTGTGAGACCACGTGGACATTATGCTAAAAACAAAATTATCAAGTTTTTTTTAAGAAAGTCACGTTTTCTAGTGCTAGTCACGTTTTTAAGTCCTTTCTTATAGTAGGTACGCATCATTGAAGCTAACATAAAAGAATATGAGGTAATAAACGTAGGTTTATGTGTATCATGATATATTAAATTAAAAAATTTAACAAATCGTTATCACGAGTAAAAAACCGTGTAGTTCTTGGAAAAAGGTAATTGAGTTGTAAACAGTCCAAAGATCGGCCGCATCCTGCTATTATCCTTTTAATAATTTTACTTCTTCATTCTGTTAAAATCACTTTTATAATCTAATGCAAACACTGTTATAAATTCCAATAAGACACAGTCCTTTTATTAATCTAAGTCTTATACATACGTTAATCTTGTATTGTATTATTTATTTATATATGAAAAAGGAGTGACATTATAGTTTAAAATACAATAGGTATAAACATTGTTATCGATCAACAGAGATCTGTACTGAAAATCCGTTAAGAATGTTAAGGAGACATTTATACAATATGCTATATAAGAAACACACTACATGAATAGTAATCTAATATACTTCAGAAATAAGTTAATAGTTATTGATAGAATTCGGAAAAGGATAAGCTTAAATGGGAAAATTTATCACTCTTAATGTGATTGTTCTATATATTTAAATTATTGTAGATATGCGTTAAAAACTCAATATCAGACAGACGGATTGCTCTTGTGTTTTAATATAATGAATAAAAAAAACTCTACTTGATATAATAAATACATATAACACAACTATGGAATGTACAAATGACAAGTTAGAACTTTTTAAAATGTTCTGATGTTCATTATAGTTTACCTGAACTGAGAGTGACTCCCACTAGGATGGAGACGATCCACGCCGTTTTACTCTGTCCCTCGTTGAAGTAGGTGAGAAACTCAGCGTAGAACACGCCGAACGAATACGTCATACCATCGGCTGAAAGTAATATATCGTTTAAGGTCATACATATAGCCATTAAGTTAAATATATTTCTCGATGCTTCCGGCCGTTAAAAGACCTTACTATCATTCAATGATTTTATTATAAATAATATCTGTTCGAGAATAAATAAATTGATATTAATCGGATTATACAACCGTATTTTATTATTATAAAAACTAAATACTTTCGACGTTTCGGTTACTTTTCAGCAATCATGATTACGAGCAGACATCTTGTATGTATATAGTTTTTACAATAATAAAATACGCGTAGTATAATCCGAAAAATATTAGTTTTATTTAAATGCATATTCTCTTAAGTTTTATATCTTATTTTGTTGAAGAGTATTTCATAATAGTGTGTTTAAAGTAAATGTTTAGTGTCAATCATATTTGTCCTTTTGACTGATACATGTAAAGTTCTGGTAGTGTCTAGATAGCGCCGGTCATATGTGATATGAATCCGTTATCAGTATAACTGGGTTAACATGATGGACGCTACAGTATCGATGGCAAGTGCCAAGTGACAAGTGCCTGGCATAAGTCTGACAATGGTGTGTATACCACAAAGGAAGCTCACACCTACCTATTTCATATGAACAAAAGATTCTTTTCATTTGAGTCTCTTAGTTACGTTTTAGAATATTGGCATATATACTATAAATATTTGAGATAAATAATAATCTTCATTAATATTCCAACTTTTTCCTTTATACTCCTTTGGCGGAGCTACAGTCGTAAATACAATAACGTGTCCTATAAAATTAAATTATTGTTATATTTGATATAATTACATCCGCCAGTTCAATACCAGATACCGCGTGCCTAAATACGACGCTTATCCACCCACTCTTCACAATCTCCAACAAGTGCTTGAAAAGATTATAGGTACTGTCATTTTAGATTATTTATTTAAGCACTTGGCCCAGTTTGGTCGGTTGAAAGTGATCTTTTCATTTATATAAGACGATTTCTGGAAATCATACAGCTAACGGTTGGATGAATCCTACATTACTAGAAAAAAAATCAATGTCTATGTATATTTAACAAGTCTCTTGAGGGAATTTTTTATTCAGAATCAGAAGCCGTGACATATTCAATCCTCTTTTAGTTTGCAATCCATGCATATCTTTAAAGCAAACTTTAATTAGGATTTTTTAGAACACTACACCGATAATTTTTGATAGTCATTACTCATTGATATAGCGAATATTATGAGGTCATAATATTATAAAATGTATTTATAATATGAATTAGTTAGTCATCAAAATGCTGATAATTCAACAAATGTTTTTCATATTAAACAGTAATAAAAACTGTTGATATGATTCTAATAATTATTATTAAATAAAGACAGTTAACCTTTCCCGAAAAAATATACAGGAATGATGTCATAAACTATCAATTTGAAAGGTTTCGTGACATTTTCGTATATACAGAAGCTAAAAATTGCTCAGCGACTATCGGTAGATAAAATCCATCAATAAACGTTAGATAAATGTATTTGATCGATCGGAATGATAACGATAACATTTTATTAAAGATTATATAGAGATAGTTGAAACCTAAAGGATGAATACATTTAGATTTTAGATTGACATCGTCTGACACAGTATCAGACACGCCCACGGCTGATAATTTTATCGGAATAAAATTAATATCTTCTAATCATTATTACTTGGTCATAAAATGTAAGCGATCTGATTGATGGCCGCATTCACTACGAAATGTTGCTGTATTGTAAATTGGCATCAAAATTATTTCCTATTCTTAAGCAACGATAGGTCATTGGCTAGATTGTTTTAAAAAATCTGCTTGTTCTGGTGAAAAGCACACACACACACACACACACACACACACACACACACACACACACACACACGTATATATATATATATATATATATATATATATATATATATATATATACATATTAACTTCAGTAAAAACATCATGTAAAGTTGTAGTTGACACATAAAAATGCATAATGAATATAATCTAGGAAAACTTGTATTAGTAAATGCACAATAAGTACACAAACCTTGTATTGACAGTGAAATATGAAACTATGGCACGTGGCGTTTGATTATATTTGTGTTACAGTTTTGCTTGAATCGCTAATTGCTTTAAGGCAAACATTAAAAGTTCTGTAATTCAAACAATTGAAGTTCCTTATAGCAATTTGGAACAATATGGAATCACGTTGTAATTAACTTGTAATGTTAATTTCTAGGATTGAATTATTAACTTGTCTCATTAATCAATGGTGTCTTAAAGCCGAATTAGTTTATAATTGTAATTAATTCTATCATGTTATACGACAATTGGCTGTTAATAATAATTTGTTACTACATATATAGGACTTGTAATTAAATGATAATTCTGTATTTTATTACAGAAAATACTTGTAATTGTAATGTAATTTACGTCTTTTAAAAAATTTTGATATGAATTTTAAAACAAATTTTATTAATTTAACCAGTAAAAAATAATAATAATATTTTAATTCATAACTGATATTGGAATTATAATCGAAATTTTAGCTTAAACACGATAGTAAAAAGCTTCCTTCCTTTTTCCGTTTATTTACCTTAAAAGATGAGGAAAATCAAACGCCTAATACAATCTTTTTACGTCGTCCTATATATTTCTTTTTCCTATTTTTACCTATGAAGCACTATTTTACTTAATCTTTAAATTGACTTTCCATTAATTGCAATTGCAATTGCCACTCATTCATTCATAGTGTTTTCTTTTTATGGAATTTCTTCATTACAAATCATGGAATTTTCTGCGTTACGTTAGAATTATTATTTAGCAAAAATGATGATATAAATTAAACGTGGTGGAGCGTGATTTATGTATCGTGGGTGTGTAAAGCTGGCTACATAAAGCATGTAATATGCATGGCTAGTGTTTCACACGCTCGTACAAGGAATACATCAAAGGCACGATGGTAGCTTAAGTAGAATGGATAATATATTCTGGGTCAGCATCTAATTTATTCCGTGTACAGTTAATTTAATTAAGGTTGCTCGGATCGAAATTACAACAGTCAAGGAAATTTAATAGCAGCAATTCTTACATACAATAATTTGAAGTCAAAAGTACTTTTGAAACATACGAATGATACTAAATTTGTCGTAAAAATTTTGTTTATTTGAAAGCAAATGTCTGCTGTAGTAATGGAGTTTTCATGACTTTGTTTAACATAAAGAAAATAAAAAAACGAGTGACGTGTTTTAAATTAGGTATTAAAAAACTTTTCAAAGAAACTTTATGAATTCTTCTATGTCTTTCAGTATAGAGTTCAGTTTTACAAGATTAAGTAGCATGTAGTCAAACGGAATTTCCTAATCTACGCTGTTACCGTGTTATCCCGGGAACATTCTGACCTGGTTAGTGACATAATACATCCTGGCTCCTAGTAACTTGATTAGCCGAGTGTTGGTATTAATTGTTCTGCTTCCCAACTTCACGTCACACACAGAAATGTTAGGTATAAGCGATTTATTATTTGGGAAGTTTATATGAAATTGAAAGAAGTATAAACATAGAATAATTTATTAAACAAATAAGTGTTATAATATGTTAATGAATGTCTCTGATTATATTAGGTTATTGCGATAATTTCTTCAGTACAAAGTCTAATTTTATATAATCTGTATGTCATTATTGATTGCTCATATTTAATTATTTATTTTTAGTGTCACGAGATTATTATAAATATCTCGCATCAAACACATTTAGTTGATTCATTATTAGTTTTATATGAAGACTAGTAAACCTGGCGAACTCCGTTTCGCCACCAGAAGGCTTTTATATAGCATTTCGTTTGGTGATTAAAAAATGAAGATTTTTTTTTGTTTTATATTTGAAAAGGAAAATTTTTATTTCATTTCACAACTGTAATTAATTCATTTCGATTAAAAAATGAAGTGTTATTTAGTTGAACTTCTCTAAGTAAATGAAAGTGAATTCAAAGTAGATACCGAATCGAAGCGTTATACGTGTCCGCAAATTATCCGTTTCATTGAAGTGGTCCTTTGTAAACCACATTTTTTGTTTTTTGGTCTAACTTTAACACAAATAAAGCGGATGGTTTCCAAACTCGTGAACACGTAAAATATAACGCCCATGTGAAAAACAATGTTTTCTAAATTTATCCCGCAAATACTAAATGGTTTTAAGATTTCAAACTTTTTTTTTTATGTGAAAGGTTGCAAACGAGCTGACGGCCTCCTTGATGGGCAGGAGTCACCGTCGCCCATGGACATCTGCAACATAGATGTTGCGGATGCTTTGCCAACCTTAGTTGTTAAGGAAAAGGGATGGGTAGGGATAAGGAGATTGTAGGAAAGGGTGGGAACAGGAAAAGTACAAACACAATACCGGTTTGTCACATGAAATTGACTGAGCAGAGAACAATGAGTAGCTGTCAACCAATGTGTCATGCACCGGCACCATTTACTTAAAATATTGATTTGTAGTACATGTTATGTATGATGGCGCTGTATGTGACAAAAGATTTTCCTGCTTTTCTGTTGAATTTTTTTTGTTATATACTTCACGGAACCCGAGACCTTTCCAACGAATGCAAAACCGTGGAAATTAGTTCGTTCCGGACCGGACTTATTTTTATATAGTAGATCTCTTACAAATATCTACTTATCATCATTACGTCATTACATATCTGTCATTATACGTCAATTGCATAGCTGTCAATTGTGTTTCGTTATTCCACGTTTTATAGTGACTGACGTTTCATGTCAAGTCCCACGGGAATGCTGTCGAATGGGATAAAAAGTATCCTATTGCAATTTCCTGGCTCTAAACTACCTCCCTGCCAATTTTCAGCTAAATCGGTTCAGCCATTCTTGAGTTATAAGTGAAGTCACTAACACGACTTTCTTTTATATATATATATTAGATACATGTAAATATGAAAGCATTAAAAACGCAAATATATATAATAGTATATATTTATATCTAAAC